GTTTTTCTCTTCCAACCTCAGGTGAAGACGATCAGCCAATAAAGCGAACCCGAGACGTTCCGTGCCGTGTTTTACTGTACCTATATGCGCAATTCTCAGTATTCACGGCCAGACTCCTGACACGATAGCCCTGCACTTGCATTACCGAACGACGAGACAGCAGTGTCATGCAAAAAGTCGTCTGGACCTCTTTGACGTTTCACAATTTCCCCGATTTCTTGGGGTCACTAGCTCGAGGGATTCGTTAAGAAGTCTGGAGACAATGTTTTGTCAAGGAACACAGCCGCAAGCAGCGGAGGCCAAATGATCAAGATCCAATACAGCAACTTTCTTGCGAAGCTCTTGAAGTCAGAGTGTTGAGCCCTCCACCAAACCCCTGTCCTCCAAGCAGTTTCTGCCCGAACTTCTCCACCATGTGCGTTCAGACAGCATTCTGGTTGCCTCCCGGCTGACCAGCTCAAAGTTTGGTATCAGACGAGCGGTAGGTCTAAGCGAAAAACAACATACGTGCCAACTTTTACAGGCGAGGTGGCCGAGGTAAAGTTTGGAATAGTGATTGTCTGTTCTCCACCCCGGTTCTCCTCCCCATAGACCTGATGTTTGCTCGGCTTAATTTTCAATTAGGTCGTTTTTGTTTTTTGGAGACGACTGGACTGGTATAGCAAGGAGGTGAAAACATTCCGCCCGCAAACATATACAGTTCGCGCGGCAGAAACCTCCGCGGATTGCCGTCCGTTCCCCCAGGATGTTTCTCAGGCCATTGTCATCAGGCGCAAGTGAAACCTTGATTGGTTGTGTGTTGGTTGACAATGGGGGTTTTTGCTTGATCCCATCACCACATGATACAGCGCCAGTTAAGATACGTCTCGATGAAGTGCTGAGTGGTGTCTCTGACTGACGCGCGAGGTTGGCGAGATCTATACGATTGTGGCGGAACTTCCCGTACTGTTGGTTCCCGGCCCAAACTTATCAATAATACTTTCAACTTTGACTTGTTGCGATCAGCGAAGATCTGCGAAAGCGAATAGGCACTCCTGTGGCTGTTTCACCTCGACGCTCATAATCCTCGATGATCACGATCGTGTCTCGACAGGGAGTGATTCCTACATCGTTTATATTCTTACTGGCGCATCTGGAGATCTGAAGGACTGTTACCGTCCATTTTGGTTAAGACTCAGGAGTACCTTGCACTCCTCGGTTAGATTTCTGACTGATATTTCCGGGAACCAGGACGAGGCTGTATTTCATGGGTGTTGATATACCATCACTGGTCTACCATCTAGAATAGCTTGCAGATAAATCGGGTCCGGCTGTTAAGTGACTACATGTGCTCAAATTGCAATCGTCACATGAATTGTTTCTTGTAAAGACCACGTTTGTAGTCGTCGCCGCCGATCACCTGGTACAATATTGAAACTCCAGCTGTAAGGCTGATATTCCAAGCCTGGGGCAGGACTAGTCGTAGTTAGCATTCTCGGGTTCCCTTCACCGCATCTCGGATTGCAGTTGTCTTTCCCACAAAAAATGTAACGTCCCCGTACGCCAGATATCTAGCGAGATGTATGCACTTCGCTAATTTGCGGAGTAATCAGTCCACAAGCAGGTAGAGTGAGTGCAGATAAATCCCACTGTGGGACATTGTCACGTGATCACGCGCGTTAAGACGCGTCCTTTGACATGCGCTTGAGCTCGGCACCAACTTCGTGATCCCGAACCGCTTACCGTCGCTCACCAAACATTCCATGGAGACATGGATGACGGGATTGTGGTGAAGCCTGCTGAAATAGCGGATTCGGATGGCGAGTCCGACCTCGCCTCGCCCATCAAACGACCTACCGCTCACGGAGTCGCTCAAGTGAATCCACTCCCAGGCCTGACCTCAGACTTTCACATCGATTTCGATGAGTACCTGCCTACTCAGAAGCTTTCATCCTCTGCCTCACTGCGCCCGGGCGACTTCAACCAATTAGATGGCTCTACGGATGTCATTGTTGCCCAGACAGCGACACTCTTTGGGGAAATGAAGCCAAAGAAGAGAGCTCACACTGCTTTACACGACGGTCTTGGAGAATTACAACACACGAGACCCAGTGAGAACCCGAAAGTGAAGAGGTCAAAAACGTATGGCGCAGCATCCAGGTCTCGCACTACTTCTCACAATGACAATTTGTTTGCTCCGCCCCTTGAATATTCCTCGGAACCTGGGTATTCAGAGTCTACCGATCGGGATGGGAATGCAGCAGTTCAGACAGCGTTGGGCATAGATACTATGTCGCCTCACGTGGTCATGCCGGTTCTGACCGACACAAGCAACAATTCTGGGGCAATCCCGCTTCTCGAACGACCCTTGGCTGACCCGTCCCACTGTATGACCACTTCGATGGCCTCGATGGGACAGTATCAATCCATCAACCTAGACTTCCGGGGCGCAGGTCAGGGCCTAGATGTCAACACAAACCCCTTTGGATCGTTGAGCCAGATCTCCTTTTTGGAAGAACCCAACCAAGCCGGACAGGAAAACCTCGTGAATTTGGTCGAGGTTGTTGAAGCAAGACAAACCCACATTGACGAGAGTCGGGGTATTCACGAGCCATGGCAAGACGAATCATTGCAAATCTTGTCAGAGTTGTCACCAACAAGACCGCTAGGGACTAACCCGGCTCGAATTACTCAGACAGATGGAACGGCCTCTGCGAATGGAGACGGCCTCTTCCAAGTAACTGAGATCACAAACGACATGCCTGCTCCAGCCAGCACTAGGGATATACCTACAATGCCCATGGAGAAGGACTCAGTGGTCAGAAAACGCGGACGCAAAGCGAAGAATTCTAGACTGTCTTCCAAATCTTCTGGTCTTGATGTTAATGACGATCCAGACGATGTGGGTTTCACAATCTTGGCAAACGCGACCAGATCTCGCCGGGGAACAATGGAGTCGTTATCTCAAGCATCTCAAACATCTGCGACAAATGGTTCCAAGAAGCGGAAGAGAAGGAAATCAAATCACATGGGAGAAGAAGCCGCTACAGGAGATGGCGAGTCGTCCCCCTGGAAACAGCCCACAAGCGACATGATTCTGAGCGACGAAGCTGCGATTGGACTTCCGAAAGAAGCATACAAGCCACGACCCAGTCGGTCTCGGTCCAAAATCGTTGTAGAAGACGAGACGGGACAACAGACTACAGAATCTCTCCTCATCAATCAACCGACAAGCGAGCTAAATCTCAGCGACGAGATCATGATCGGGCTACCAAAAGAAGCTTACAAGCCTCGTCCCAGTCGGGCGCGATCCAAGAAGTCCGTTGACGCGGATGAGGCTGTTCTGCCCCCACTGGCAGTTGAAGATGACCATCACACCCCAGCGAAGAGCAACAACAGTGTAGAGCAAGAAACTCCTACCGTCAGTGCAGCAAAGCCCAGCACAAAGAAAGGTAGAAAGAGTAAAGTCAAGCGTGCGAAGACGTCTGCGGCGGCCTTGCTCAAGAAAACCGACCCAATGTTAAGCGATGGTGAAGAAGACGTTGTCTGGATGGACACGAAGCCGGCGCCAGTGAAGCTGGATCTGCCACCTGACTTGAAGGCGTTGAAGAAAGAGCCTGACGTCCCGAAAAGCGAGCAAGAGCACGGACTCGGACAGGACGGCGAAGAAGCAAAAGATGCTAAGAGCAACAACATTACCATTGAGATTTCGAACCCTCCAGAGGTTAAGGACCCTGTAGTGGAGCCTAAGAAACGGGGGAGAAAGCCCAAAAAGTTGGGAGATCAACAACCGGAGCAAACGACCACTGAAGGAAAGGAGGAAGAGCGAGAGTCTCATTCAAACAGTCGTTCACCACTGGCGGAGAAGCCTAGAAACATGCGGACTGGTGTCAGCAACGACTTGGTAGAGAAAGACTTGAGAAAGGCACCCACAGTCTCACCCATCACATCTCCCGAACCAGAGGCGGAGCCGGAGGCCGGGAAAGGGGCGGTGTTGGAAGAAGACGACACCGAAGCTAACACAGGCAGAGGAAAAAAGGCGATCAGCACACCAGCAAAGCCGAAGCCAGCTGCATCGGCGTCGTCTACAGAAAAGGGACCGACCAAGCACTCTCCCATCAACCCTCCAAGTTTCAGCGGTTCGGGGAGAAAGACAATCTACCGCGTCGGTCTGTCTCGAAGGCAAAACATCCCGAGCCTCTTGAGGAAGGTGGACAGAGACAAGCCGCCGCCGAAGAATGTGGTGAGGAAGGAGAAGGAAAGTAAGAAGAAGAAAGACATGGATGCGGAGAATGAGGGCGAAGAAGGGGGAGGGCCCGGAGAGATGAGAGGGCCAGATGGAATGCTGATTGAGTGGGAGTTTTAACCCAGCTGAACGCTCCGGGTGTGGGGGGACTGGAAGTGGCTTCAACCTCGTTGCGGTATGCTCAGATATGATGATGAGACGGACGTGGACATGACGAAATGCTTGCCCTGTGTTATGGTTGAGTATATCATGGCCATGGGGATCGAGATGCGACTTACATGCCTGTGCAAAGCAATGGACTGAGTTTAGAGGACAGGAACACAGACACAGACGCTGACACAGACACTGCGGCTACGGTAGAGGTGTGTCTGTGCTTGGCCCACAAAACCGGGTACTACCACGCTATGTTACCTAGGTAGTATATTAGTTACTATTAATTTACATGACCATTCTGTGATGCGATGAGACGGGTGTCAACAAAAAGTAGATATGGATACCCCTGCCTTGCTGCACTCGTCTTCAAACAGTGCAGTAGATTTCTTTTGGGGAGGGAGGGGGGGGGGGGGTAAATTTGTCTTGTATGGTTTTGCATGGTTTGGTTCTCCGCCATTGAGTAATTGTGGTTCTCTCAAACCACCTAGTAGATAGATGGGTCTGTATCTTCTGTACTGGGTACGAGGTAGAAATGTCTCGAACCACCAACCAGCTTATGCAGGTACACCTGGCCCTACGCCGGATTCTGACTGCGCCTCTCCCTCTCTCCCTATCCTCATCCCTACCCTTGGCCGTATCCCTCTCCCATATCCCCTAGCTCTACCCCCGCCCCTGGCCTTTGTTGTTGTGAGGTCATGCCCTGGTTGCGAGGGGACAACAAGGCCGGAATCTCATCCCACGGACACGCCGCCAAGATCCTGCCCAACGAATACCCCCGGCGATCCAACTCGTCAAAGACGGCGCGACACCACTCGACGATTCGCAGGTGGTGGTGGGGTGTTCCAGCGGTGGTGGTGGTGGCGGCGGCGGCGGCGCGGGAAAACACGTGTGTCGCGACGCGGAGGGCGAAAAACACGTTTTGCGGACCCATGATGCGCGCGTCGTCGGAGAGGAAGAAGTCCATTGACTTGCATATCATGGTTGCGAGGTGGTGGTCTGGGAGGTCTGGAACCTCTGGAGGAGGAGAAGAAGGAGGAGAAGGAGGTGCGGCATCAGTGTCAGTGTCGCTTGGGTACGACTCTCGCAAGGCAAGGGAGAGGATGCTCGTGCGCAGTAAGAGCAGCATGGTCCAGTAGGAGAGATGGAGCCGGGCGATTTCAAAGGTCGGAAACTGTAGTGACGTTGTAAACACGCTCGGGATAGGCAGATGAAACCGTGCCGACACCGGACGCTCCCAGTACAGCGCTCCACACCCGGCGTGCTTGCGGACCAGTCGCTGGTACCAGGTCTGGAGTTGAGAGTGGAATGTCCTCCCTTCCTGGACGAGTGCTGTCCTCTCTGGCACGGCGGCGGCGGTGGTGGTGGTAGAGGCAGTCCTAAGTCGTTCGGCTTTCTCGAGCAGAGTCGCGATTTGAGCCATGATATCCTGTAACCGGTCAAGATCTGACTTGGGGTGTATCTTCCACGGCACGGTCAGCCAGTCGGGTCGGGCGAGAAAGATCGATTTGCGCGTGGCCAGGGCGTGGGTGATCTGTTGGAAATCGTACGAAGTAAGTGAGTGCTGGGGAGTGGTTTTCACTTTGAAGGGGGGCTAACTTACAGCGGTGGATCTGAATCCCAGGAAGAGTCGATGGCTCGATCCCGTCATATGGGACTCGGGTCCTCGAAGCTCGACTAACCTCGCCATGCCTTCGACGTGGCTGACCCATCCGCAGGTGTTCTTCCCGGAGACTTCGAGGAGCTGTGAATCCGGTCAACAATGTACAGTTCTACTCGTGACTCCAAAAGCCCCGGTGTCTGCAAGGGATGATGGACGGGAGAACGGGGGAAAGATTGAGGAGGGGAGAGGAACATGGGAGACATGCCTCGAATATCGACAAGGCCATACAACTGGCCAGAGTCTGCTCCTCCAAAAGCAGACTGTGGTGCGAGAGACTGTCCTGGAGTCGACGCAGCGCTCTCCCGTAGTTGGCCGTGCCCTCACGTCGGAGCCGCTCGTCGCCGTGTCTGCGACCCAGACACGAGAGACTCAATGCCAGGATTGCGAGATCGAGCGAGGCGCTGTTTTCCAACGACGACGGGTCGATGGCTTGGAGCCAGGAAACTTGTTGGGTCTTTTGCTCGTTCTGAAGTCTAGTGTCATGTCCTTCTCCTTCTCCTTCCTCTCCTTCTTCCTTTCTCCTGGGGATGTAGTTGGCGAGAAAGTCGATAAACACCTCCGCAAGCCCGGCGGCGTGTCTTATCCCCTCAATGTTTTGGTCTTGGGGCGTTATCCTCGCGGTCGTTACGGTGGTGCCACCCGTTCCGGAGTCACTGCCCGGCGTGAGCTGGTCAACTGAGCGTGCGTCGCCATCAACAGTGATTTGCCGCCTCAAGTCCGTGAGCGAAACCAACGGCTGCGTCCTCGTCAACAACGTCTCGCGGTCCAAGGCGCTCAGATTCTTAAAGTGTCGTTCCCTCTCATAACCCCCGCAGACACGATTGGTTTTTCGACATCGTGCACACGACGGTCTGTCTCCATCACACTGTTAAGAACCGAACAACACACCTGGCGAGGTTGAGGTTAGGTAAGGCGTGTCTTTGATTCGCGCTTCCGAGGGGTTCCTTGTCGGAGTTCCCCTTGCTACAATGGTTTAAAAAAAAAGATAGGGAATACTTGTTCGCGGGAAAATGGTGAGACGTACGTGGATCTTGCGTTTCCGGCACGTGTTGCAGCCCTTGGAACTTCCTGCGACTCCAACCATTGCTGGTTGTGGTAGAGATATCCGAAAAGGCCGGTAGTGTCAGTGTACGAGTAGACTTGATGGTAGTTTGCTCCCGTGAGATGCTCTGGTTGGGGGAGGTTCGACGCGTGTAACCACCTAGCGATATATGTACGAGGTACCCGGGGATCTTTGGGATGTCAAAGTTAATCCTGGAGCCTGACGACCGGCCTTGATTTTCGTATTATTATGCCAAGGACAAATACGAAAAGGAAGCGACGGTGACATTTAACCGCAAGTATCATTCGTAATCGTAATCGTCTGTGGCTTGGTGCTTGGATTATTGGCATGTTGGGTAAAGGAAGTGGATCTCCAGGTGGATACAAAGATACATACATATTACGAGGTAATGGAGAATTACTCCACCCCGTACCAAGCACACGAAATACTTTCCTGGCAGTAGAAGCATTGAGATTATTCCTACTGCCTGCATGCCCAAGTCACCCAGTCAATCATCCACAATTATCGCTCACTCCAAAGCCATTTCTCCCTGTTCTTCTGTATATCTCCCCTTCCCCTTTTGCGCCCACTCCTTGATACCAACGACGGCCAAACACCACGCCATTAAAACAGCCGTGAGGCCCATCATGACCGAGGCCACTAGCATTGCGTTCAGCTCATTGTCCATCATCGCATCGACCGTGTCTCTGTTCTGTATTCACCGACAAGATATCAGCATTTGACCGCCTTGGGTAGAGTCCTTTCTTACACTGGCCATGAGCATCAGACCTCCGCACATGAGACAAAACGACGTGACGAGCTCGGTTGGTGGTCGTGACGGTGATCGAGATCTCGCAGGGGCAATGTGGAGGAATAGATACGTGAGACTCCTCGCCACCGATGCTGCGGTGAGGAAGTTACCCACCTGCGAGCACGTCAGTTACCGCGTCACATTGCGGCCATAAGAAGCACAGAGCGTGCCGAGAGGCGCGATTACCCATTTGTGCATCATGGTAGATTCCGAGCTGTTTTGATGATGGCCCGCAAGAATTGTGCCTAACAGGAAGATAATCATGGCCGGGATGGGGTTGGTCGACCATCCGGGTGTCAACGTCTGCTTTTCGTTCGAATCGAGAGCGACTCTGTCTGTGCTGGTATTTTGAAACGACGATGTCCAAGATACCGTCCGGGACTCAACCATCATGCCGCACTGTAATATAGTAAGTATACTGCGCAGGCACTCAATAGATGGCGCAAACGGGGCCACTCACCAACCCACCACCAATGAACAAGAGCGATATGGCGACATGTTCGAGATCCTGCGCCGTCCACGCCTCTCCCCACGCAGAGAGATGTTCGAGAAAAACATTGCTGATTCCGTAGATGAAGATGAGTAAGCATTCAAGCCCTTCCATGGTGACGGAGCGATGCCAGTTCCGAGATGAAGCACCCGAGCCTTTGAGATTCCACGCCCAGCCAAGCCCAGACAGGGAGCCAACGAAGCGAAGTAAGGTGATGATGCCGAAGAAGAAGAAGACGCCGCCTTTGATGAAATGAGCCAAGCCGTTCAAGAGATTTTCTCCATGCTATGCATTGTTAGCGAGGTTCAAAGCGAAGTTGACGGGTGAATCTTCTCACAAATATTCCAGCCATGGTGACGATTCCAGTGCAGAAAGCAACAAATGCTAGGACCGTCATTGCCACGGCGAAAAAGCCAGACGTGAGTGCCGCAAGAGGAACAAACCGCTGGGAGGCAATCATCTCGGTCCATCTTTTGGCCCTGATCAAGGAGAAGAGCCGTCCATACCGCCTATCAACTGCGCGGCGGGGAGGACGTAGAGAAAAGTTACGCCGATTGTGCGAGTCGGTTCTTATTGAATTAGTCCCATTTCTTCGAGGCTCCCTCCGTGGTGTGAAATAGTTCTGTTCTATGGCGTGTATGTGGTCGTGATCGAGAGACTCCTCGCTTTCTTGAAAATGTCTGGCAGACGAAACAAGCGGCTGCTCTTCGTGACTCCCACCAAAGGTGGCTTTGACGGACCGAGACCGCGACAAACTTCTCATGATCCTGACAATTGACTCCAACACAGCGAACGCGGTCAAGGTCCAAGCAAGCGCATGATGTGAGCTGTTGCGATACAAGTCAGGTGTCTTGGAATTATATGCCAAACCAAAGACCGTTCCAAGGGCATGCAACCCGAGAAGGAGGATTCGAGCCGGATATACAAGGTTGGAGCGAGCCATTTCCAGCGACGCCACTGCTAGAGATTGTCAGTGTTTGGTTCCTCGGATAGATGGGAGCTACTTGCGAAGAGGAAGAGCTACTATCCAAGCCAGTATCATGAACCCGATATGAAAGTATAAAATACTGGACGAGGTAGGTTCTCTGAAGTAACTCTCCGCCGATGGTGGATGGGACATGGTCGCGTTGCCTTGGTCAACACGGACTTGGAGGTTTTGTACCATGACGGTGATCAAAATGAGGTGGCCACGTTGTTGTGAGGAGTCCTTCAGACGCGTTGGACAGGAAGAGAATCTTCATGTGAGAACTGAGAAAGATGGAATGCCGTTCACATGTAAGAATTGTGGTTGAGCATGAGTATATCTTGGTACACGTTATATATGTTTCGGAGGCAACCATCGCAATTATCCAGTGACCCGTGTCCCGGTAACCCCGGGCCCCATAAACAATGACGGGCGATTCAAAAGTTCGCATTTTGCAACCCTAGAAGGATACAAACACGTGTGCACTCAGGAACACTGGCTTGACTGGATACTGGATGACAGCAAGATGCGGGACGTGCCCAGGCTGGAAGGATCCTTGCCGCAAGGCTGTGATGGTACTAGGCCGAGAAGGGCAACATGTTGCGAAGTGTCTACGTAACTCCGTTGGGTCAAACTTTGATTGATTGATCGCTTCATACACTGTTGGGCAAGGCCAGAACGGCTCAAAACCAAGTCTACTTGGGTTATCGCAGCTTCAATCTTTGTGTCTACTCGCTATGAGAGAGGTGTTGCCGTTGCTTCACGATCCCTAGATAATAATATACCTCGAACGACCTATATAAGTAACCATCTCCGTATTATACAGCTTCAATCGCACCTAGGGCGCTATTCCTCCATCCTCACATTTGATATATCCTAATATATAAGCTAGATTGTAGTCCTTCTCTTTATCCATGTGAATAGTTAAAGATGTTGAATCTCTAGATAATTCGAGTTTATATGTCAAAACCTTTGTACCTCGTAACGGGACAGAAGGTAGGTTCGTCCGGAGACCGCCCTCAGGGGTTGAATCTCGGAATTAATCGCTCGAGGACATGTCCTGTTAGGTTTGAGGGTAGGAATGGGTTCCTTACCGAGTCTGCCATATAGTCCCTATACCGCAGTCAAAAAAGGGAGTTGTCCCCGTGACTCCGGGCCAGAACAGCTTCACGCCTCGCCTGGGGCCGCCATTGGCCCTGGCTCGAGCCTGGAACAGGTTGCGACTTACATTGTGGAAATGTCAATCAAACACTGCGGAAGCCGGGCACACAACGTAAACCATCGATTAGCCCTTGGTATTCCGATGTAGGTGGCTCCTGATCAGGTTCCTGTGCCGGCGCTAGTCACGAGCCATAGCGCGCAACGAGATCTCTGATATCTCCGAGCATCCTGGGCGCATGTATAATCAGCTTATGGGGAGGAAAAAGAGGGAATGCTTCTCACTGTTCTCTCAGAGTTTCATTTTCGGGGAACAGAGCAGACACATGGGTGTTGAATCTCCTATTGTTCACCATCGTTGGTAAGAAGGACTCGTGTGGTCCGAATGTTTGTAGCTCGGGCTCACAACTTATAGAGATCAAGCCGGCCTTGGTAATCCTCCTCCGGACATGATATCTGGACATAAGAGCGATAGGAAGACAAGTACGCAGCACCGAACTTGTTACAAGCGGGCATCCATTGGCCGAATTCATCTGTTAGAATATGCGTTAGACCATGGTCCGTGCGACGGACCAGACACGACGGCTTTCGGGGAAGCACTCACACTCGTTGTGGGCGTAGAAGCAACAAGCGTCAAAAATCAAAGAGGCACCTGTGTCGGCATCGATCGCTGAGTTGGCGTACCAGAGGTCCCCATGCACAAGCGAAGGTTTGACAGATCTGCCTTCACTCTCCAGCGGTCGAAGCAGTCGAGGAATCACCTTTTCGAACAGGGTCGGCACCAGAGTGTCGAATTCTGGATCGTGTCCTCTGACTTGCAGCTCCAGGTTCAGTGCCCACCGCATACTCTTTGTAAAGAATGTCTCCCAGCTGTCCTCCCAGTCGTTCAACTGCGGAAGATTGCCGCCGTAGGTTGTGATGTGAAAGCCAAACTTGCCATTGGGAGACTTGCTGTTCTTGTGCAGCAGAGCGAGCTGTGCACAGAACTTGTCGGGGTCAGGCATATCATCTGTCATTTCCCGGTATTCGCACAGGAAGAAGTGCGTGTCTGGATTGCTCTGATACGTGCCCCAGGCGATCGGCTTGGGTGCAAAGTTGGGAAGTATGCTGTAGATGGCTTTCATGGATTCGAATTCTCCATGTACCATGTTTCTACCCGTCTCATGGGAGAGGATCTTGATGAAAAAGGATACTTTGGTGATCGCATCCGCCAACAAGACGTCAATCCGCCTCGTGTTCGCCCAGAAACTCACGCCATGTTGTTCGGTACGGAGGATGCGACAACCTCGGGGCAGCTCGGCAATGACACTCGCATCGACATCGGGTTTGATTCTTTGATACTCGATTCCTTTTGTGCCCTCGAAATCCATGATGCCGGGTGCAGAGATACGTGCCTGAAGACTCATGCTGCGCATTCGGGAAGATTGAGGGGGGAAATAGGGTGCCGAAGCTTCTGCGACTGTCTCGGGCCGACTCGTAATCTTGCTGTTGACCTGGCAAGCCGGGTTGACTAGCCAGATCAGGGTAATCAGTGCTTATATTTGTATCAGTCTGTAGATGGTTGGTTTCGGGAGCCGCCGGAGCGGGCCAGCTAAGCGCCCAATACCTTATTTCAATTTTACCTTCTCTGCAGACCATCGAAGAAGGGCAAGGGTTTGGCTATCATTGAAACCTAGGTCTCGACATTTGTACTGTAATGGTCTGAATGGGAAAAGAAAGAGCACGGCCACGTGACTGTACAGAGGACATTGGCATGGAGGTTGAGAGGACATCAGTTGAATCATTTTAGGAAGCGCCTATTGTGCCTCTAACCCTCCTGCGTTGCATTCTTGTTGCCGTTACCCCCATAGCTGTGCAATCGCCTGTCGCTGCCCTGAGGGTCGCCTGTGCTGCCCGGCGGCATGACTTGGGCGTTGACCCTGAGGTTTGTGTGTGTTGGTGGTGGAATCCTGACCTAGGCACCCCTCACGATTTCCGACCTGCTAGATGGGCCTCTGTGCGTTGTTGCACATGCACGCCGCCGAACCTCGACCGAACCTCATACAGTATCAAGTTAGTAGTTTTCAGCCAACGAAAGGTGACTTTCATCAGTTCAGCACCGTTCCGTGCTTATCTGTTCTCGCTGCGTCTACAGCCCACTATTGCTCGTGTCCCGCTGTAGAGGCCTTGAGTATCCGGTCACGAAGCTCTTCCTTCTCAATCTGTCTGACCTCGACGCCCGCCTCTTCGAGTCGCTTCCTGCCTTGGTTGAGGCCGATGAACGTCTTCGGCTCCGTGATGCCGACATAGACCAATTTGATAGAATCCTTGAGCGCGAGGATTCTCTCCACGCACGTTCGGTTGCCGCTCAGCCGCTCGTTGCAAGGTTCCATTGTCGTGTAGAGAACCGTATTCTTGGGTAACACTCTGCCGACGTAGTCATCTGGTACGTTGTGTTTCTCAGCAATTTTTATGAGGCAACAGTGCTCGGCGTGTGTCGTGCCAGGGTCTCCAGGTCTATCGCCGGGTAATTCCAACGAGTAGCCCGTGGACAGGATCTCGCCACTGTCACCGTCGATGAGGACTGCTCCGACACAGAACTTTGTGGCTGCTGGAGGTGAAAGTTGTGCCTTCTCGAGGGCGTATTCCATGTAAGCCTCATGATCACCTACTTTGATGGTAGGGTGAGTTTGTTCGCCGGCCATCGTTGGTGAGTGAGGAAGGACTGCGGATACGTTAACAGGTTACCTCAATTGTCAATCGATCGGTACTTCAGGGAATATAGGGTCAGGTAAATGCCACATTCAAAAAGTGGGGGAGGGGGGTTGTGAATCTTCAGGAATGGGTGGACTGACCGCCGAGCCTTTGGACAAAAAAAAACGGCACAGTCTGACAGAAAGTAGACGCCCTCTCGGAATTTAGATGGTCGTTTGACAGCGAATGAGGCGGGCGTCAGAGTAAACATAGATAATATTATTATAAGGATAGCGGTGCTGTTATACCTAATAATAGTTATCTTTAAGTCGATAGTGAATTGCTCCTCGTTACTATTTCTTGTCAAACTGTGCCACTTATCTTTGACATCGGCTCGCCGCTTCTTCAGGCAGGGGCTTGGCGCCCGTGGCTACGTGGAGCCGGAGCAAACATGTAGGTAGCCGCCATCATCACCACCACCCCTGTTGCTAGCCAAAATGTGTCTAAGTACTGGCTGGTTGATTGTAGAATCCAAGCCAATCTTCTTGAGACTCAAACGCCACTCGGACACGCTACTAGAGCCAGCTGATACCCTGCATGACGGCAAGCTCCTCCCCATTCTACTAAAACGCCCAGGCTTCCTGCGACTGACTGGCTTATCCGGAACGCAACACCCGTCGTTGCGAGTGTTCATATCCTCACTTCCTGCTCTGTCGTGATGCTTCCAAAACTTTACTCTCCATACTCACCAAATTGAGTTTGCTCTCTTCTGAAAGCCAGCAATGAGACTCTCCTTCATCCAGAAAGCGTTAATCATCCCACAGTGACCCGGACGAATCAGTTTTTACACCTTAAAAGACTGGGGAAAGATGTGTGGAAGACGTGCGGAAGATGGTATGTTAGTATTCAGCAATCAGTCCCTTCAACTTTGGTATTGACCGATCTGACCATATTTCTGAAGTCAAGCAGAACATCTCATCGGAAGATCAATGAATTTGCTGCTAGCCTTATACTGCCGCAAGGCAAACAACCCTCAGAGAGTCCCTCGGTTCCAAGCACAATCGACTACGACGAGGCAGTTGATGAGAAAGGCCCCCTCGGCCTCAACTTGCTCTACACACCCTCCGAGCCACTCGTCGACTTGATCTTTGTTCATGGCTTGGGGGGTGGCTCGAGAAAGACCTGGAGCCTTGGACCCTCGATTGCGCAGAATTATTGGCCAAAGGAGTGGCTTTCAAAGGATCCTGCCTTCAAGAATGTCCGCATCCACAGCTTTGGGTACAACTCGGACTACGTCAAGCACCGGGATGATTGCTGGACAATACACAGCTTCGGGCAATCCCTGCTAGCAGATTTGAGGACCTCTCCGTATATCAGTTCAACAGATACTCAATTGATCATGATGGGACACAGCATGGGAGGCTTGGTAATAAAGCGGGCGTATATGTTAGCGAAACATGACAAGTCTCTCGATTCCCTGACATCCAGGTTCCGGGCAATATATTTCCTGGCAACACCGCATCAAGGCTCCGACTGGGCTAAAATCCTGGATCGGATGTTGCACGCTCTCTCCCTATCGCCCACTTTTGTGGAGGAGTTGAAGAAAGCTTCCGGAACACTACAGTCCATCAACGAAGAGTTCCGCCACTACTTTGATGGATTTCAGCTGTTTTCATTTTACGAGATGCAACCAATGAAATACCTTCGGTCAAGGGTAGTTGAACCAGAGTCTGCAGTCCTCAATTTGCCAGGGGAAATCCAAACCCCAATGGCCGCCGACCACCGATCGATCTGCAAATTCAAATCAAAAACGGACGGCAACTATACGAAGCTTCGTAATTCACTTGCGATGACGGTTGCAAGCATATTAGGTGAATTGGCGAAAAGAAACAAGGCGCAACAGAAGCACGAACTAGACGATCTCAGCCAACACTTGCGCATACCTCACCAACCTGAAGATGATCTTGAGCTTGCCCAAGGCTCCCAACTGCCTGGAACTTGCGAATGGATTGCACGGAAAGAGAGCTACTTGGCGTGGAGAGACCTTTCCGCAAACACACCACCTATTCTCTGGATCAGTGGGAAACCCGCCACGGGCAAGTCTGTTCTTGCGGGCTATATCATCACGCAACTTCAACAGCAAAAGTCAAACAGCAGCTACTATTTCTTCAGACATGGTGAGAATTCGAAGACTCGGCTCATCAACTGCCTTAAGTCACTAGCCTTCCAAATGGCCTGTAACAATGAACACACTCGGCGCATTTTGAGCGATTTGTACAAGGAAAACACCTATATTGACGGTGATAATGAACGCACTCTTTGGCGCAAAATATTTGTCTCGACAATATTCAGAAGCCATAATGAACCTCACTACTGGATCATCGACGGCTTAGATGAGTGTGAAGCTCCTGAGGTTTTCATCGAAGCCCTCCTTAGCCAGCTCGATTCCGCCACAAAGTTGAGAGTTCTTCTCACAGCTCGGGATATGCCGAAGATCAAGGCTGCATTTCTGAGCCTTGGTTCGCACAGATTTTGTGAATTACCAATTTCGACGCCTGATACTCTTCAAGATATTCAACTCGTCATTGAGGCAAAGTCACATTCTCTCATGGTCAAGAATGATGAGTTTCGGGCTGCGCTACTTGGGAGGGTGCTCGAAAAATCCCAAGGCTCCTTCCTATGGACCCTCCTGGTTTTAGAGGAGCTTGCAAATACCTACGGTGAAGCGGAGCTCAATAAGGTGCTTGATGACGTCCCTCGAGACATGAACTCATTATACCGACGAGTGCTGGACTCAATGGAATTGACGACTGTGGGAAGTGGAAAGAGAGTGGCCAAAGCCATCCTCACCTGGGTGGCTTGTGCTATGAGACCACTAAGCACGAAGGAGCTTACTGATGCGCTGAACTTGGACCTTGGGGACAAGTATGATGCACTCGAAGAAATTATCCCGAAATTGTGTGGCCAACTCGTTGCTATCGATAAGTTCAACAATGTCCAGATTATACACGAGACAGTCCGAGAATATCTCACCAAGGATGGATTACAGTCCGACTTTGCCGTGACCAAGCCTCAGGCGCATAAAAGGATCGCTGTGACATGCTTGAGCTACCTCACAAGTGACAGAATGAGACCTTCCAGGACTCGGAGGCGAGCATCACGCCGGCGGTCAGGTACTACCATCGAGGACTCGAACATCCAATTCTCGACGTATGCCTGCGCAGCCTTCGCATACCACCTTGCCAATGCCGACTGCGAATCACTAGATGTTCTTGTTCTTGTCTCCAGATTTCTGGAAGCCAATGTCATCTCGTGGATTGACAGCATCGCCCAGACAGGGGTTCTTACTCCGATCATTCGAGCAGCGAAAGATCTCCGGATGTATGCCAAACAGTGCAACGCACCCCCAATCTCGAAGGAAATCCAAATGATCAAAGCAGCTTCAATGGATCTTGTCCGCGTCGTCGCAAAGTTTTCTGATGTTCTTGTCAATAACCCAGGCGCTATATACACCCATATTCCCCCTTTCTGCCCCCGCAACTCGACATTGTATAAAGCCTGTCAGAGATGTCGAACAACTACACTGTCGATTAGTGGGATGTCTTACGATCAATGGGACGACCGGTTGACATCTATTGAGCTCCAAGGCGATGATTTCACAAGCATCGCTTACGGAGACGAGCTTTTTGCTGTTGGGACAGCCTCAGGACTCGTCAATCTCTACCATGCAACATCATGTGAGGAACAAAGGGCTCTGGATCATGGAGAAGCTGTTCGGCTATTACATTTCAAGCCTAAGTCTGACATCCTCGTATCCTGTGGCTTGAAGAATGTGACGGTGTGGAATAGCCGCACGGGCGATGCATTACATAGACTGTCCGCTCCCTTTCGACCTATCGCTCTCGAATTTGACAAAGATGTACTTTTGGTGGCGTCAAGGAGAAATTTCCTAACCTCCTGGGATTTGAACAACAATGCCTTACCACAAGCAGACCGACCTTGGAGTCATTCAGATGAGGAAACGGAGCAACCTTCCCCCCTTCAACCATGTGCCATTTCCTTCTCTATCGGACATCAAAAAATGGCCGTGGCATATATTGGCCAACCCGTCACAATCTGGGACCTTCAATATGACGAATACTACGGCAGCTGTGGGCGAATTCTTGCCAATGGTGAGGTCAGTAAGCATCTAGTGACATCGCTCTCCTTTAACCCCAATCCTGACATCCGACTTCTTGCTGTCTCGTACCTTGACGGTCAACTTGCCCTCCTTGATCCTTTCGAAGAGCAGGAAGTGGAATGCTTTCGAGCCAACTGCCGTGCCTTGACTTCGAGCCCGAATGGACGTCTCCTGGGGGGTGTGGCTGCATGTGAGACCATCAATTTATACGAGTTTGATACATTGAGGTTGTTGTACAGGATTAGATCATCCGAGCAGGGTATCAAACAAATAATTTTCAGCCGAGACAACTTCCATTTCGCAGACGTCCGCCGGTCACAATGCAATATTTGGGAGCCTACGATGCTGCTGCGTGACACAGTTGCAGAAAATCTGAGCGAGAGTACTTCAACGTCGGTAATCGAAGCAACTACATCGGATGATAAAGTCAGAATCAGTACCATGGTCCTTCACAGTCAGGACCAGGTAGTCATTTGCGGCAAGGATGATGGTTCTGTCTGTCTGTATGATGCTCGAACAGGCGCCTTTCTGCAACAGATTCACGAACACAAATCTCCAATCCGCACTCTCACTTGGCAGACTCGTGATAATATTACCACGAGTGTGGATGCGTCAAACGGGGTGCTGGCTTCCACTCTGATGAGGGACCATAAAGGAGGATGGATCTCAAACGAGCTTCCCCTTCAACTTCGCCTGGATTGTGGTCATGCTATCGTTCAAGTCCTGAGGTCCGAGACAACCAGTAACCTCATCCTTTCGACGCGGGAGTCGGACTATCTCTGGGACAGCAACGGAAAGCAGATTGCAGCACGGTCATATCTGGAGAAGCCGGGCATTCGACTATGGATACAGCACCCTCAATCCCAACGCCATGTAATATGTATCGAAGGGGAGGATGCCCGCATATTCTGCTGGTGTCACCTGTCGGAAGTTTCACGTCTTCAGCTGGGAGTGGATACCACAAACGTACAGTTGAAGAGCGTCCGAGGATACGATTCAGGCCAACGACGCTGGATGCTTCTGGAATTGTCGGAGCTCAATGGCTCCGCCAGAACCCGCTCCATTTACGTCTTTGACGCAACACCATTCAACCTTGAAGATGGCACGTGCCTAGGCGATAGATTGGAAAGAGAGAAAGCTGGAATCCACGGCCTCGTCGACATGGAAGTCCCAGCAGCTTTAACAAGTGAGTGTGAGAGCTCCTTAAGTGAGCCTTCCATTGGGGAACCAATGCTCCAGACCTACCAACAACACGTTTTAAAGCCTCTCATTGGCCGTCAAATCCTGGCCTTGACTCCCCACGTCTTCCATGTCATCCATCTCACCGACACGGGCAAACTTATCTTCCTAGACACCAACTCCTGGGTCAGCTCCATTGATCTCGACAATTTAGACAGATCTGTCGCGACGGCGGCAGCAGTTTCGACTCCGTGGCCACCTTCACCGCCGATCCAGTACTCCAGACACTTCTTCGTGCCTCACGATTGGTTCTCGGGCACTCGAGACATAGTCTGTGCCACGACGGCACGAGATGTACTCTTTGCACGAAACGGTGAAGTTGCCGTTATCAAAAACGGCTTGGACTATGAGGAGGAGGTTACAGTTCGAGTGTCCTCTTGAGTGATGACGTTGCATACACCCTTTGAGCCGAGAGCCGCATTGATGGATATGCTTAATAGCAAGAGGTGGTCGGGTGTCAAGGTGAGATATGTACAAGCAGGTCTTGAGTTAAACAACATTGGAGGCGCAAGGCGCAGAGCCAACAAACAGGCAGGTAGGCAAGAACAATGCATTTGGCGTCGAAATATTGCATTTGGACTAATGACCTTTTACCCGAGCAAGGAGTGAATATTTGACCTACGTCGATAGATATTGGAGCTTCTTCTAGAGCTCTGAATGCCCTTCCTCCTTCCGCGCTTCACAACACATTCTCCCTAGTTTTGTGTTTCCTGGTGGCGCCACTCCGAGCTCCCTCCCACAACATGATCAACGACTACTTCCCCCCCTTATTGGTGCTGCTGGTTGTACCTGTGCTCCATCGAGACTTTGCACCGGCGACAGAAAAGCCCAGGCCTAGATGCCCGAGTCCGTCTGCAGAGGCTCCTCGCCGGGATCGAGATATCCGCACGGATCCTCCGGGTCGTGCATGTACGGGCTCCAGCGGTCCCAATTCTCGCACATGTCTGCGAACCGCTGCGGCCAGGGCGGAGGGAAGTCGATTTTCTGTCGGTTCTCCATGATCTGGACGGCCAGGCCCGACGAGGCGTGGAAGGCGATGTGGCAGTGCATGATCCACACGCCGGGGTTGTCGGCGCGGAACGCGATGATCAGGTACCCCTTGTCCGGGAGGAAGGCGACGTCCCGGCGTGGTGGGTTCGTCAGCGTCAGGTTCGCCTTGGACACGTCGCACTCGGTGTGGTCGTCCGGGACGCACTGGTCCAGGACCGCAAAGTCGTGCCCGTGCAGGTGGATCGGGTGTTCGCCGGGCACGTACACCCCGGGGACCTTGGGCACCGGGTGCGGCAGGAGCGGGGACTTGGACTTCTTGGGCCCCGAGATGATGGTCAACTGCACCCACTCTTCCTCCCTGTCGTCGGTGTCGACCACCGCCAGCCACCCCTTTTCTGTAAAGTTCTGGTCGAGGTTCCAGAGCGTCGGCCCGCTAAAGTTGAGCCACATGGGGTTGTTGGGCACGAGCTCGAATCTGTTGACCGTCTTGTCGCACGGCCAGTAAGGGTATCCCTTCATTGGCTGGATGTTGAGGTACAGAGGGTCCACGTCTGTTCGAGTTAGCCTTCTATAGACGACCATTATGTGTAGTTTTTTTTTTTTTTGTGGGTGGTCATCTTACGGTGCCTGATACGGCCGACGGTCCAGGGAACTATTGGAGTTATGTTCCGATAGTAGGTCTCGTCCGCACACGTAGCTTCAAAGGGGTGCTTCGTGGTGCTCGGCAACTCGTCGCTGAGAGTATATCGGACGATACCCGTGCGCTCTTCAGGGGTGGGCGCGTTCGGGTCGAACGAACTGCAGTTCTTCGCCGGAGTGGTCCGGATCCAATAGCTGTGGTCGCTGCTGTAACGGTCCGGGTTCGCGTCGACGATGATGTTGTACCGTTGTCCTGGAAGGCGCTCAAGGTTTCAGGACCAGAAATACCTTTAAGCTAATTCGTTGGGGGGATGGCAACACACACTTACCTATCCCTACCACGACATGGTCAGTGTAATATGGCTCAATCGCCACAAAGTCGGTCGAAATGACCCAGAACTTGTGGTCGTCGATCGAGAACACAAACGTCGTGTCGGCAGCGCCGTTGATGAGCCTCATCAGGTACTTGACTCCCTGGTTTCCCGATCAGAAAAATGTGTGACAAGGTGGCGAGGGCGAGGGCGAGACTTGTCATTACCTTTTGGAAGAATACCTCGTTGAACTTTGGTTTTTGTGCCAGTTCGATCTGAGGCGGCCAGTGGCCTGAGGTTGCAGTTAGCCTGGATAGATTCTCTCACTCTGGAGAATAAATATACTTACCAACGCCGTTTTGCAGAATGTTGTCAACGAATATCTGTTTCCCACTCTGTTGGATGGACGCGTCCCATTTCTGATACACACTGGGCACCACTGACGTCAAGGACGTGGATGTGCAAGTCTGATGACAGTGGTTGTCACGTACCTCTTATGCAGCCAGTCGCTCATGATGATAGGATACAATTGATGGTCGTAACTTTTGGACACCGGGCCATAGACGGTGAACGGTCCTAGAGCACCGGCGGCATACTGAACAACAACACCTCAGTCCATCGGCACAGAGGATGGGAAGGGTGATATACAACGTACCTGCAAGGAGTAGTGGCTGTGATACCACGAAGTTCCGTACTGGGTGATGTTGAAAATGTATGTGAAGCTTGTGTTGGGAGCGATGGGACACTGTGTGACTGCGTTGACGCCGTCCATATAGCCGCTGTTCCACTGTCTGAAGCCATGCCAATGAATGGTGGTGCCATTGCCCGGGTTGTCACCTGTGTTGTTGCCCGTCAATTTGTTGTTGACTGTGATATGCACCTGATCACCCCAGCAAGCTTGGATCCGGGGACCAGGAAAGGTTTTGTTGAACAGCTGCACCGGTAGACGCCCAAAGCCATCAGGATCGCAGGTGGATTCTTCAAGCTCCAGGTAGTAATGCCGCACAATACCCCTGGGGCCGTCGTTCTCGTAGTCCGTGTGGATGTCATACCGTTGGCGAGTCTTGACATTCTCGAGCCAACACGTCCTGTCTGTCTTGGTGTTGCATGCTCTCCAGCCGTCCTTCTCCGGATAGTCGGGATATTCGCATCGAAAAGGGATATCTTCGAGGTCGTCTGGGGGATTGAAAATCGGGTATTTGGTGGCTTGTGGCTGAATTGGCTGAACAGTTTGCACCGGGATCTGAAGATCTGGAGTATTCTCTGGAGGATACAGTTGACTTGGGGAGTTTGTCAGATAGTCAAAGAAATAAATAATGCCCGTCCATATCTTCCGTATGGGGGCCATGTCTACAGCTGGTTCTGGCAAAGTCCTACTGTTGACCTTGAAGGAAATTGGAGCCAAAATGCAAAAGAGTGAAAGGGGATATATGAATCAGCTCTCCTACGAGCAAGAGCAAAGCCCTCCCTCTGCTCAGTGCGGTGGGTGCGCGTCAGAGCATTCCGACCCCAGCCCTGGTGGCATTTCGTGCTTCTCCCAGCCTGACGATCAACCTGACAGTCTCCAATGAGCTGTATGTCCTTTGTTCTGTGACCTCAGAGACCCGCCACGAAGGGTGATGAGACCTCCTGTGACCAATGCGACATCATCGTCTCAGACATGGGTAGACATGAGTTTAGATTGAGACAAAGGATATTTTCAGCTCGGAATCGGAGGTCGTTTGCATGAAAGTGGTTTTCAACAGGACGCCTCGACGACGGAAAAGGGTGTGTCACCCAGTCGATTTTGAAAGCGGCTGGCAGCTCCTGGGAGGCCTGATTGGCGATGACTGTAGGAGACTACATCCTCGAAGCACAAAGTGACGACCCTCGATACGAACCTGCAGATTCGGGCGGGCTGAAAAGCTCTCGTATCACATGAGACTCCTCATTACCCCTCCCTTCACAGTCTGGAGATCATCTTGCCTCCCATCTCATCCGGGCTTCGACAAGGGGAAAAGGGCAAGTCAGTGGCTAGCTGACATTAGGACCCTGATCAAGCTAGCTTTCGGGTGCTGCACTCAGCCGTTCAGCTTCTGTGCGGGGTCTCTTTACAGTCATTGCAGAACTTTTCAGAGTCTGAAGCAGAAACATCAAGAATCAACGAGCTGGTGAGCGGCCGAAGGTCTTTGAGAGTACTCGGTACACAGAGTGGCTGGCCAGAAATGCCAAAGGTGCACGTTCAGGTTGACGAAATATCTAGACGGCTATACCCGAGCACTAAGCTTGATTGGGTAAATATCATCACTCTGCAAACCGGAGCTTGGGTAGTGGACGAGCCTCGTAGGCTCGTATCCTGACAGCTCGTCACTTGTAGCTCTAGATATTCTATTTCCTCCTTAGAATCTCGACGCCCATCCACCTCTTATCCTGTAATTTTCTTCTATTCCGACCGGGCAAATAGGATTGGCAGGTGTGTCATATGCCTTGATCCAGAAAAAGAGCGCTGGGAAAGGAGGATGCAACGCATATTTACCGTCGTCAATTGACAATTCGGGACCATGTCCAGATGAGCTAGCAATACACCATTAGCGGATTAAATTTTCTACCACACACGCCCCCCCATTTGCTCCTTGCCAGAGATGTTCCAATACTCCGCCTTCGCCATCGTCCTCCGGCACTTTGCCACCTGCGCCTTCGTCCGCAGTTATACAGCATGAACGTAACTTCATTTGCGTGCCTGGTCCTATAGCCTCCGCACCGGATCGTATGCCCCAGTTGACGTTCTTAATCTTGAGTCTGAATCTTGTGATCACCCCTCACAACTTCTGAATAGCTAGGCGGGGCACCAGGCTCATTGCTTCCCGCACCCACACTTGGTCCAGCAGGCTCATTTCCTTGAGGCTCTTGGTTTGAGGGAGGCGGTGGCGCCGGTCTATTGCTACCCTGGCCGGCAGGCGGGGGAGGGGCAGGTCGATCTTGCGCCTGAGCTTGAGTGCCATAATCCCGCCGAGGGACGGTTTCATGACGGATGTAGTAGTATGTGACTCGCCCACCCTGACCTCCTCGTTCGGAATCGGGAATCACCTCATAATCAAAGTCGCGCTCGGGATGACGTGCGATGATGTACCAGGCGTGCAGAAGACCAGGGACATAGCCGAGCATGCAGAGGAGGATGTTGATGAGGGAATCAACCGAGCAGATGCCCGACTTGATCCAGACTTTAATGAATGAGAATATGAGCAGAGGAATACCACGAGCAAAGTTATGGCTAACATACCTGCAATGGGGGGAAAGAGGACGGCTATCAAAGCCAAGAAGATATCACCACATGTCATGGTAATGGTAGTTTGATTTTCCGAGATGATAATTGGCATCGATTGAAGAGGCAGCAGACGCAAAGAGTGATGGCCGTGAAGATATACCGCTGGAGCTCGGTGAGAATTTTTTCGTGTCTACTTGTACGAGTACAGAAGAAATGAGGTTGCCTGGCGATAGTGAGAGTTTGAGGGCAAAAAGGGCGCAGTCTTGGAGTCGAGTTAGGGCGAGGCTGTGAGAGGCTGAGCAATGACGTCTTTCACGGGCGTGAGGCAGGACTGCGGAGGCGGCCGGGCTGAGTCACGTGCGTCGTACTGCTCGTACTCGACTTCAAGACAGTCCAACAACTGCAGGAACCGGGGCACGGGGATGCCAAGGCTAACGGCTTGGTAAAGCCGAACAAGCCTCGGTTGAAGGGGACCGGAGCCGAATAAGAGAATGAGAATCGAGGAGGAGAAGCAGAACAGGGAAATAGCTTGATTACTTGGATATGTTCCGCCATCCACCTCGACTATTTGCGGTCCCTGGGATCTTAATCTGACTGTAACGGATCTCCTCAGTGCATTTCCTGAGATAGGCAACGCACTTCTAACGTGAGACTGTGGGATTTGTTTGATTACTTTAGGATCTGCAACCACCTCCGATCCCATTGATTTTTATATCAGCGACAACCCCCTTTTCCTCCTCTGTTCAGAGCTCTTTTACACACATTGCAAACATGTCGAGCAGTGAGGCAGCAAATCCAGACCCCAGTGTCGTCCCCCAGGACCCTGCCGAGGCCAGAGGCCAGGTCGAGCCCATCAAGCCTTCCCATCACCCGGCCTTGAACAAGGTGCCCAAGGAGGTCAAAACCACCATCTCCAAGGCCGACGAGATCATTCTGCGCATCAGCAAGTATGTGACATTCGAGATCAATGGAGCAAGGAGCGCGCCTCCACTAACGTGTTGAATACAGGTTGATCAAGACCACCGCAGGCCTGGGAGCAGCTCTGTCGACCCTCAACTATGCCATCTATCTGGCCGCATACCTCCATTCAAAAGCACCTGCTCGCGCTGCTGTCATCGCATATATCTCGCGTCTCATAGGTCGCACACCTTCGAAGCTCCCCGCCGGGGCTCTAGCCCCATCCGCCGCAACGTCGTTTCTCACGCCGCTTGGAGCTCTTATATCGGATACTCGTACCTCGCTGCGCTTGACGGGACTGCTGCCGCTCTACATCTGGATGAAGACGCTCTTGTCGAAGAAAACCTCGGCAGATATGGACCCGGCCCTTCACCGGGTTGCGTTGCTGCAATGTGCCGGATATATCGGTTTCCAGGCCCTAGAAAACGTCTACCACTTGGCCGGCAAAGGTGTCATCCCTCTGTCGGTCATTGAGAAGCGAGGAGGAGTTGCCAAGTGGGTTGCCTGGAGCTGTCGTGCGTGGGCAGTGGGAGTGGCCAGCGACTTCCTCCGCCTGTGGCGCGAGGCAGAGATCGAAAAGGAAAAGCGGGGGAGCAAATCGGTCAAGGAGAGGGAAGATTACGACCGCAAATGGTGGAATGAGTTCATGGTGGCGGCATATTGGATGCCTGTCGCGGTTCACTACAGCCTGTACCCTGCGGGTATTCCAGGCATGAACACTGGTTTGGTCGGCTTCCTTGGCTTGATGGCTGGTCTCAACAACTTCAGAACCCAATGGGCAGCAACCGCCTGAAGACCAGTGGGTGAAGGCATACTGGTGGCAGAAGTCAGTCTTACGGGGGACGGCCGGTCATGGACTGTCTACTCTGGTCGAGGATGTAATACTGCACATTCGGTGAGCACAGATACATGCATGGTATATACTTCTTTGCTGCCCACCAATACCCGGAGTTTGTGCAGGCAAAATGTGGATTATTCTTACAAAACACCATCCATTTTGGTAAACAGTGTTCAAGCCCACATTCTCCGGAACCGACTCTGCTGTCCCATAGGCTGTATTGATCCCTTCTGGAGGAGTTCCCCTGGGTGGTCAAGCGAATTCCCCGGATCCACGACAACGACTTGTCGCTGCATTTTCGGGGTATTTCCTGTTTGGGATTGCGGGCGGTTCTCGCCTCACATACGATGCAAGCCTCTCCGCAATCTACATCTGCCTGATCTTCACATCTCCAGTTTCTTCCATATCGCAAGTAACTCAGCGAGCCATGGGAACTTTATGCATGAACCCCCATCACGCACCCTTTATGCCTGCCTCTGTCTGTGGTTGTTTTGACTGCGAGACGTCGGACCGCACAGAAGTGAGTCAACCTCAAACGAACATGCATACACCATCCACTTCGACAGAGTGGACTTTAGCAAGAGGGACTAAGATGACTGCGGAAAATCAATCGACGATGGCCTGTTATTCATGCAGGAGGTTGTGTACCCGATCACCATGCTGCTGGAAAATGCTAATCTTGAGGCAGACGCAAGGTCAAATGGTCCGTCCTTACCTGAACCATCACAATCACCCTCATGTCCCTTCGTGCCGCACATGTTGCAGGGATTGACTGGTCTACCTAGCGATAAATCCCTCCCTGCTTGCCGTGTCTGCACAAAGTATGCCATGCCATGCTGCTACCCGGAGATCCAACACAAGCCAGGTCCTAAACTGGGTGAGGATGTTTGCGATTCCCTAAAGCGACTCTGTGACTTTGATCTGACTCGTTCTCTGTATTGATTGCAGGCTCGCACTCGTCCAAGCACCGAAAGCGGGTTTGCTGGCATTTGGGAGACCATTCACCAGATAGTCAGGAGGACATCCGGGAGGCAGAGGATAACAACAGCGTCAAGAGAAAGAAAGAACGTCAGAGACGGAACTTGTCCGTATGTCACGATCGTTCCAGCACGACCTCGGATACGTCGAGCCCTGAGTCGACGACGGCGCAATCCTGGGTATTGCACCATTTCCACGAGGATCAATCATACAGCATTTCGCCGCTGACCACCTCTAACAATGCGATACCCAGCGAAAGTCTAACGGTGTATGCATGGCCTGCGCAAGACAACACAAGCTACGTCTGCCGTATTCTCTGCATTTCAAAGGACATGCTCTTTAAACTGTAAGGATATCCGCCGTGAATAAGTGAAAGCCCTTACTGACACTTTTAGAACGAGCACATACTTTGAAAAAGTAACCTTTCTATCTCTCTTTCATCGACCAACATTCGACTCCATGGTATATAACCAGATACAGCAGGGCCCATCCTCAGCTCTACTCGCTGCAGTAAGCGCTATAGCTACACATTATGTGGAAGAAAAGCCCGGACTACGACTCTCTCTCAACTCGCGATATCCAGACATCTCACACGCGCCAAATCATTTCTACAAGCTGGCTTGCACAATAACCAAGGAGCAGCTGGATCAATGTGGTGACGGCAAGCCTCCCCTCGCACTTCTTCAAGCGCTCATTCTTATCACGTTTTATGAGATGATCGTTAGTGCGCGAGGAAGAGCATGGAGATCCCTCGGTACCTGCGTCCGCGTTGCACACGAGCTGAATCTGCATTTGACAGATTCACTGCTTCAAGGAAAATCAAAACTGGAGGAGAACACCTGGACCGAGTCGTGGTCGCGCAAGGAGGAACAACGAAGAGCCTGGTGGCTTCTTTGGGAACTGGACGTCTTTGCTTCGACTGTTCGTAGACGCCCAGCGTCCATACACGATGGAGAATATGCTGTACTCCTCCCAGTGAATGAAAAGTCGTGGTATGAAGGACACTACCAGTCAAGCTGTTTCTTGGACCCTGATCCTCTTCATCGAACTCGGAAGTTACTCGAAAGTGGAAACACTAATGGGAAGGCTTGGTATATTGTGATCAACTCGCTGCTTCGCGATGCGCATACAACTGCCAATCCAACCTCCCACTGCGACCGCGAACGACCCAGGCTGGATGACTCACCTTTGCTGGATTCGGGCCGTGGCAACCCCGTGGACGAACGGAAACTCGCGGTTCTAGACGATTTTATTTTGTACTTCAAAACCACGCTGCCGACGGAGCTCTCATATCAGGGCAAGTACTTGTCATTTTGCCTCTCTGGCGATTCATACGGCGAACCGACGGCGATTGAAGACTGCGACAAGCAACTTATTCACGCCATGATTCATCTGGGTAGACTCATGATTTTACATCACTACTGCATCCGAAACACTGGTTCTTCGGTCCTCAAAGGCAAGAAACTGTCGGCGTATCTGTCGCTCAGTGGTCCTTCGGTGACGCAGAAACTTCGAGCGATACTGGGCTTCACGGAAGATCAAACAGCCTGGGGAAAATATCTCGAGGCTGCTGAGGAGATCATACGCGTCGTCCGAAAAGCTTCACCCAACCACATCGGATACGGCCATCCACTCCTTGCATCTACGTTCTGGATCGCAGCAGCCACCCAGTTATTTAAGAAGGCGTTCGCGCAAGATGAAGCGGAACGAGATCTAGCTCAGTCCAACTTCGACCTCCTGAGGCTCACTCTGGACCATAGCCACAAGTTCTGGACGACGTCCGAGTTGATGGTGAAAAACATAGACACCCTGGCTTCGCGGCTTGGTGAGCTTCGAGCGAGATTGGTTGAATCTCAAGGCGATGGAGCAGACGTTCTTGGCTGTCTTGACGGGGCTGATCTTTGCAGCCTTGACGCGAGTCCGTTCGATGATCCGAATGGTGTTGAGCAGGAGAGGGCTATCCGACGTGATGGCGCTTCCGTCACCACCACGACTGGTCTTGGGAACTTGTCAATGCCAAATAACATTGACTACACCCAAACATGCACAAACCAAATACCTACCACAACCACAGTTTCGGACGACAAGCCCAGCGAGCTTGAACTACAGGCTTTCATGCATGATTTCTGCGGCGACAACTGGGACTTTTGGGGTCAAGATCTAGCCGACTTGTTTCCTGATTGCTCTCAGACATGATACATCTTCTCCGAAAGCCGGGGGAAAGGCGATAAAGACAATTCCCAGATATGCGAAACAGTTTCGCAGAATGAGTTTGGAAACCACTCAACAGGTGTGCTACTACTATTTTGCATAGATAGCCCTGTATCAATGCGATGTGTATCTACTGTCCATGTTATATCTCCGGATGTTGCTTCAGAAAGTCTTGCAGTGTGGTATGCTTGAGATCTGGATACAGCTTGTTGTCCAATGCCTTCATCATGGTTTTGCCACCGAGTTGGCAGATCTGGTAGGTATAGCCCATCCACTCCCAAAACCTGGCCAGACCGAGCTCCTGCTGACTTTTCTCAGCCGTCACAGCGAGATCTTGTAAGGATCCCAGACGGTTCAGCTTGACCGGGATCCCCTTTTCCTCCTGATATATCGCGGCGATCTGCTTGACGCTGTACTCCCAGGAACAGTATCTGTACACTGCACCTTCGCGAGACGGGTCACAGACCAACGCGGCGGTGAAGTCGGCCGCGTCTTGCTCCGTTGTGATCTGCCACTTTTCGGCGCCCGTGCCCCAGTACTCGGCGCACGGGCTGCCGGCCGCTGGGTCCCAGACTCCATGTGTGCTGGGGTCGAATACACCGTGGCCGGGAAGGGAGAAGAAAGTCTCTGCCAAGAAGCCGACGAAGATGTACATTGGCTCGATGCGGGAAGACATGGCGAGTTGGCGCTTGAATGCCAGGAAGAGATCGTAGTATACGATGTCACCGAATGACAGGTTGGACCAGTCCAGGTTCCAAGCGGACGGGACGAATCGCTGCACACAAAAGTCAGCAAATTATATCCAGTTTTCTGCATACCTGAATCGTCGCTGTTCTTGACTTTAAAGGCACGCAACCTCTGGTCGAGAAATTGCTTACTGTTATGCCCTGCTCCTCCATCAACCGCACGAGCAGCAACTGCGCATCCAGGACGAGTTCCGGCACCGGCCCATACGCGCAGATGACGGCGTCCACGCCCACCAGGGCCTTCTTGATTGCCGGCACATCGTACCATGCCTCCATTTCGTGGAAGCTCTCCAGAGCCTGCGCCTTATCCGAGGCGAGCTTGGATCTGTTCCTGGCCAGCCCGCGCACTTGGGCTCCGTGCTCTTGGAGGGGCGTGATGAGCTTGGAACCCACGTTTCCCGTGATGCCGACGATGAGGACCAACATGGTTGTTCTGGGGGGAAGGACTTGGGAGGGATTTAGTTAGTTGTCGGTGTCTGGTATCTCGGTATTGCATCAAGCGTAGCTCTGCTCTCCTGCTCTGCTGGGATGAAGCCATATCTGCCTTTTTCATCCTTTTCACCTTTTTCTCCTTTGTTTTTTTTTTCTCTTCTCCCTTTTCTTTCTGTTAGAAGGAATGAACTGCCGACACGACCTCGTGACAATAGACACGCGGCTATGTTTTGTGCGGATGCTTCGGTGTAATTAATGATCGTCTCAATTTCGCCCCCTTTTCCCCTTTTCAGCCTCAGCCTCGGCGCATGGACGGGGGGACCTTCGGGCCGATTTTTATTTCATCCAACCAACCTTTTCTTTACTAACCGTAACCATTACTGGTAGCAAGACTCACCTTTCATGCACCCATCTACCTCATGTGCTCTTCAGTTAGTTGTGCTGTCTCCCTGTCTCCATGATGCTCACGCACTCAACCTATCAGCTGGTAACCCCGTGAGAAAGTTGGAAGTGATCGATCTGTTGCGGCCGTATAAAGTACGACAAACAAGCTAGAGGCGGAAATGCTGCGCGGCGTGATGACAAATTTTGGCTGCGAACTACATACCTACTCTAGGTAGGATATGTCGTGTCATTTGGTGGCTTTTAGCGAGGAGGGGAGAGGGAGAGGGAGAGACACATGGGAGGTCAGTTGGTACCGTCGTCGCCCTCCATATAGTGTTTTATAAATCTTCATCGATTCCAAGTCAAGTCAGTTCTCCTCCGTTCTGTTCTGTCCAGCTCAGTGGAAAATTCTACTCAAGTAAATGTCAACCGCAATAGGAAAGACCGGAGGTGCCCCCACCTCACACATGTCACAAGTATTGTACTGGGGATGTATTACATATCTACAAACCAAGCTAGGTTCGCGACGAAGCCATACACGTACCTTACCGTACTCGTACTATACACGTACATCGTCACCACTCCACCTGTAGATTCTTGGAGAATGAACGCCCTTCCTTGTACTCATGCTCGGTATATTCTTTTTGGACTCTACCGTTCTAATCTGCGCTGCTCTGCACTCGGTCCCTCGGTACTAATGCCCGGCGCATTTTTGGGGGGATTACAAGGCACAAGGCACGCGCGGTCGACGGTCAGGGGGCGGCGCAAGGACCGATTTCGTCGGTGCCGGCGTACCGAGAGACTCGATCGGGTTGAGATGACCGAGCATGGAATGGGATAGGCCGTTGGTCAGGAGCAGGAGGGATCACTTGTCAGTATGGTATGGAACCATTATGCGATGTGCGGATTTGTGGATGCGTAGATCTGTGGAGAGAGGTAGGGTGACCTTCTGGGGTTGAAGGAGGGAGGAGAGAGGAGGGAGAGTACGAGGATACGCACTTCTGCATCTCTTCTCCCATATAAGACGCTTCAAAAGTCCAGCTTGATCTCTTCTCTTTTTCTTAACTTCTCTTTTGATCTCTGTTTCGCACCCACCTCTTTCTCTCTGCACACATAATATGTCAGGACCAGGATATCTGATCAAGAACGGCCGAGTCCTGACGTGGGACCAGGACCGGAAATCCTCGTTCCCCCAGCTCGACATCCTCGTCGAAGGAGGCCTGATCACTCAGATCGGGCCAGACATCAACGTCGAAGCCAAAGATGCGGCGTCCGTTCAATTCATCGACGCCGCCGACTGCATCGTGACGCCCGGCTTTGTCGACCCCCACCGACACGTCTTCCAGGCCCAGCTGCGGTCGACGGTCAGCAACCACACCCTGCTCGAGTACTGCGCACACCTCCTACAAGGGCGCATGACGTTCCTGGGACCCGAGGACATGTACCTGTCGCAGCTGTCGGGGGCCTGCGAGGCGCTCTTCTGCGGCGTGACCACCGTCATGGACCACTCGCACGTCGTGGTCACTCCAGACCACGCGAGGCGCTGCATCCAGGCCACCATCGAGTCCGGGATCCGGAGCGTGTACTGCGCGTCGCCCTTTGCGATCCCCACGTCGCTCAACCCGATGACGCTGCCGGACATGACGGTGCACCACGCGAAGCAGATCGAGCTGTTCAAGACGCTGTGGCGCCAGCAGCCGCTGGGCGGGCCGGGAAACGACGGCCGGGTCACGCTGGGCCTGGGATTCGACACGATGCACTGGATCCCCGAGGCCGAGGCGCGCGAGATCCTCGCCTTCACACGGGACCATGACGTCCCCGTGACGTGCCACGACGTGCCGCGCTACAACCTCCCCTCACTGGCATTCCTGCGCGACAAGGCCATGCCGCTGCCACCGCAGATGACCCTTTCGCACACGTGCGAGCCGTCGGCGGGGGACATCGAGTTCGTGCGCACCCGCCAGATCGGCATCGTCAGCACGCCCGAGTCCGAGATGGCCATGTCGCACGGCGTCCCGTCGGCCTTCGACTTCCACCGCAGCCCCGGCTGTCGCATCGGGCTGGGCATCGACTCGCCGGCCATCTGCTCGGGGGACCCGTTCTTCGCGATGCGCCTGGCCCTGCAGCAGGAGCGCATGCGGGCCAACGCCGCCTTCCACGCCCGCGGCAAGCTGCCGGACCTGATCCCCGCGCGCACCGACGACGTGCTGTACATGGCGACGCTGGGCGGCGCCGCGGCCATGCACATGGAGGACAAGATCGGCAGTCTCGAGGTCGGCAAGTGCGCCGACATGGTGCTCGTGCGCACCGACTCGCCCTCGATGGCCGGCAGCGTCGACTTCTCGGCCGCGCTGGTCACGCACGCCGCGGCCGCTGACGTCGATACCGTCATGGTCAACGGCGAGATCGTCAAGCGTGCGGGCAAACTCGTCAAGGTCGACTGGGACGACTTGAAGGTCAAGCTGGCCGCGAACCGCGAGGCGCTCGAGCAAAAGTTCCAGGCGGTCGATTGGGAGTGGAACAAGAATGACCTCAAGGACCTGTGGGGGGTGCGCGGTGTTTTAGAGTAGTGAGTTAGAAAGGGCCAGGGGAGATGGCGTAGAGCAAGTCACAGACCTGATGCGCTGTGAGATGGGATTAGAATCGGCTGCCGTGGTGAGCGGAGAGGCGAACGTGTCACTGTCCCTCACTTGACAGCGGTGCGAGGGTAGGAGGTTCAATAAGGAGACTACTCGGTGTAGGGGCACCCGGTCTCTTATAGGTCTCGAAATGTCCGCTATACCTCGTCCATAGGTATGTATTCAAGGAGACTCCAGCCTCGTCGAACACTCCTTAACGAGCCAACTCAACCCCCAGCCTCTTGTACCGAGTATGTACCATCAGGCTCTTCAGTCCTAAGTACGTCAGTCGATCAACTTTTCACTTCCTGTAAATATTACCCGCAAGAGAGAAAGTAGACATCAAAACCCCAAAAGAAATTAGGTATATCATTCATTAGTCTAATTAAATTCGTGATTCAACCATCCAATCCATCCATCTATCCCAAAACCCTCCATGCCAGAATCTTGGACCCCCCCCTCCTTTGATCGCTCACACCCAAATGTCTAATGGCCGGGAGATTCACTGACCACAAGCCACCAGACGCACAACCCTCAACTCGACCGGACTACACTGCGCGGCCCAATTCTCCGTGTACAGGTTATAAAAGTCGCCGCTGAGACATTGCCAGAAGGTGGTGGTCCCGCCGAGCGCGAGCGTCCGTATCCCGTCGTCCTCGTCGACCGTGCTTGTCTCGCCAGCGGGAGTGGGACTAGAACTAGAACGAGGACCCAAGTCATTGTTATTGTTGCTTGTGTCGACGGGACAGATACTCCAGCCGCTGGTCCAGATGGCGCCTGATTGCGGGGGCCCGTCGAATTGGAATTGGTAGTTCGACGCGATGTAGCCGGTCCGGTTGAAGGCGTCGTAGAGGTTGTTGTCGCGAAGGTGCAGGCGCAGGGTCGAGTCTGTGAGGCAGGACACGAGGGATAGGCGTGGCGAGGGGGATGGAGTGGGTGAGGTTGAAGGGGTGATGGAGGTGGTGCTGTCGTTGGGAGAGGGAGAGGTTGATGAGGATGAGGAGGGAGCTGGTATACTAGGTTGTGGTGAAGATGTCGATGGCGACGGTGATGGCAATGGGAAGGTTGGACTGAGGTTCAGCCGCGTCGAGACCCCACAGGCCTGCTCCAGCACTGTAGGCGGCTTTGTCGGTGTTGCGGACTGGTTCGATCCCCGCGGAGGGAAAGGAACCGGGACATTCGACGTCGGCGCCACAACCAGAGACGCTTCTGTCGCGTATGTCCCAGACACAGCGGTAACCGCCGGAGCCTGAATCTGACCGTCACCAATCTGCGACACTGGCGCCATGGACGTCGTCGACATGGTGATGGCCGTGGTGTGCATTCCTCCCTGGACCTGCCCGTCCCCGCTCTGGGACACGGCGCCCATTGTGAAGATTGGCACTGGCGGCACCTCTTGCCTCTCCCGGAGCTTGCCAGCAGGATTGGTTTCTGAAGACGGAGCTGGGGTAGAAGGCGAAGCAGGGACCGAGATATTCGTCAACGCGATACCAAACACGCCTGAAAACGTGCCTGCACACCCCGGCGGTGGTGGCTGTGGCGGAGGTATCACTGCCGTCACCGCCTGAGGTTGTGGTTGCGCTATCGGCGACGCATATGCACAACTGTACAAGACAACCGAGACGCACAAGGACCTGATCATGGTTTCTGTGGGCTGACAATACTCAGAGAAATATGGATCTCCCCTCACACACTGCGGAATAGAGTCGTTGGGAGACACAGAGAGCGAAAGTTGCAAGACGCATTAAATCCTGCCAACAAGTCTCTCTCTATTTGTACCTCAGAGAAATCCATGGTCGGCGGCTCACATTCTCCCACGTCCCGAGTCATCAGGCTGGGACATGCATAGCCTAGCAGCAGATCCAATGCACAAGGCTGGTAGAGGGTCTGTGCGCCGTCTGCAAAACACCGGTAGGAATGCCACCAAGGCCCGACAAGGCTGCCGCGCAAGTCTCGGCAAGGCTGACAAGATCCAGGGGGAGGCCGGCATTCCCTCGTCCAAAGGTCAGAGCTCCTGTGGGTGCCTGGAGACATGAATGTTTGCTAAAGATTCATTATTCGTCCATACTGTACACAATAACACAAAAGCTGTGATCATCGTGCGCTGTTCCAACATTATTCGCTCAACAAGCAACAAAACATGCTCGACCCCCGAGAATTTCCAAAAGAACCCAAACCAACCACGTAACTTTTGAAACCCAACGCACGATCCATCCCATCATTTCCCCAGAAGACGACCTAGACGGCCCTGTTGTACATTCATCAACCATTAAATGCATCCCCGTCATCGCCTGTAACCAGACAACCCCGCCCAAGACCATCCGGAACCTCCGCATTCCCATCATTTCCACCAGCCGCTTCCACAATCGTGGTCGTTGGCTTGACAAGCACTCCCCGGCCCGTCAATTTATTCCATGTCTCATCCTCGGACCTGGACCGCTCACGTGGAAGTTTCAGTCCGTCGAGTTGAACCAAGTTCTTGCAATTCTCAGCAAGCATCAACTCGATTGTGCGTCGTCGTAAACCCGTTATTTCATCAAGCACTTTCATCCAGCAAGCGTCCTCTGTCTCCGACCCCTCAGGCAGGTCGTACCGCGCCGACTCCGAAGGTGCCACTTGACCTGTCGCAGGACTATAAAATCCCACCGTCAAAGGGTTTTCGCGTAGATCAATTTGCTGCAGCGACGGAAGCCTTGACATGACCAGGCAAGTTCGCCTCAGCCTCTGGACGCGGTTCTTCGCCAGGAGCAACGTGTCCAGATGAACCATCTTTCGTAATGGGTCTACCTCCTTGATGGCGTTGAAATTGGCGTTCAGATATCGGCAGTTGGGAAAGAATAGCCCAAACCTTTCGGGAAGCTCCGAAATGCCACATGCAGCAATCTCTAGTTCGCGCAGATTATTTTGAGGCGATGCCGGGAGTTTCAACGTCCCATTTGCCACCAAGTTCGACGAAAGACGGATGTGTCGGCATTCATTAGGTGTAGACAGAACCAAATCAACAATGTCCGATTGTTCTGCCTGTTGCCTGAGCGACAAAAACTCAAGGTGATATGCCGTCTGCACCCCCTGAATGTCCTTGATCTTGTTGTTGTCGAGATCCAGATATCGAAGAGCTCGCATATGCTTCAGAGAGATCACTTCCAGTTCGTTGTGGGCAATTCGCAGTCTCTGCAACGGAATATCCATATCATGGCATGTCATCGGGAACTGCAGAGCATTGTGAGAGACATCAAGTTCTTCTAGAGCAGGCAAGTAGTGGATATTCTGAACCACCTCCAATTGGTTGTGGCTAAGATCCAGTGTCTTCAGTCGTTTCAAATCACTGCCCTCAAAATCAACTTTGGTCAGGTCGTTGTCGCTGAGTTTTAGCTCAAGCAGGCCGTCCAGATCCAGGATTCCGTCAATGTTTGAGATTTGATTGTTGTTTGCACGTAGGCTCCGCAGATGGACAAGGGAACTGAATCCCTCCAAGCTCTCCAACCGATTGCCCGACACATCGAGGTATTGAAGGTTACGGAGATGACTCCAGGAAGTTAGGTCATTAACCAAATTCTTCTCCATGTCAAGGATCCGCAAGGTGGGCGGCAAGCCTCCCAGCTGGGAAATGTTGTTTCCGGACATACTCAACTCTTCCAAGCTGGGACAGTAATCTTTCAGGCCGTGGACTGAAGAAACGCTGCCAGGAGCAAGCGTCATCTGACGGAGCTGGTCCCAAAACAGCTCCTCAGGCGCTGCGTCTGTTATCGCCTTGACTAGCTCATCCACAGCCAATGCTAGCGAGCCATGAGCTTGCCGTAGTGCATTTGGATGTTTTCTTTCATCAACGTAGCTCTGGTCGGGGTCTTTGGCTTTATCGATTTGGTGCACGGAGAAGTCAGACAGCGGAGTCAAACACAGAATGCTGGCCCCCTTGTTGCCTGCCTTTTCAAGTTTGGCGATGGTCTTTGGTGGTGCAGGAGTCACCATATCCGAGTGCTTCATGTGGACAAGACTCATCCGAGGCTGGAACCGTTCTTCATCGTCCTCTACAATAGGCGATATCGTTCGGGGTTGGAAGGTGACTGAACCCTGACTGAGCAGTTGCACTTGATGAATTTTCCTCCAGGAGTCTGTGGATCTAGGCAGCACAGCTGGTTGTGGTAGGTCTTGCTCAACGTGCTCAGCGTCGAAGTCGATCGCCGAATCATCAAGGGGCAGATCTTCTTCGCGGGGAAGGTCATCGAAGTCGTCTTCAGAAAAGTTGGCGTAGTTCACCGCCGACACAACCGGGGACGAAAACGCAATGGTAACTGCTCGAGCTTGCCTTCGGTCGTCTTTGAGCTGACTCGGAGGTTTGGAAGCGATGCCATTGTGGAGCTTCGCTTCGTGCGCTGAAGCCTTGGAGCGAAGGGAACTTCGATCGACTTCCTCGACATCGTCCTCGGCTGCCGGTACATCGCCACTTTGCTCACATGTAGGATTGACGTTGCGGTCCGGAAGCGGGGGTGGAGAGAGTTGAGATGCTTCATTAGCACCGCGTACATTGGCCCGCAACATGTCTCCTTTCTGGTCTACGGCAGTCTTTGAAAGCACCCCATGAGACTGCAACTCCCGCTGTTCGTCAATGCTCAAGTCAGGGATATCCTCAAAAGGGTCATCCTCTGTCATGGTTTTCCGATGCTGTCTGTCCGTACATTTCGAGCCGTCCTCGCTAGATAACTTCTTCACCCACACCTTCTTGTCATGATCGAACGTCATAGTTCCCACGTGGTCGGGAATCGATACGGTACCAGAAGAGATGACTCCTTTCTGGCCGGATGCAGACGACCGCGTAGGAAACGACTGCTGAGTGGAGCTGTTATGGGATTGTTGAGCGTGTGAGAGACGATCCAGTGTCAAATCTTGTTGGCCCCCAATGGTGGAACTTGAGTACTTGCGTTTCCTAACAGTTTCGGTGGCATTCAAAATGCGAATGTTTGGCGGATCGCTCTCCTGAATCTCCTCTAGAGCTGCAGGTTCAGCTTCTGCACTCAAAGACACGGCCTCACGTGCTGGTGGGAGTGTGCCAAACATCGAGGTGCTACCCAGAGCGTCCATGTCGTCTTCACGATATTTCCGCAGATAGCTTGCTGTTCTGGAGTCGTGGCGTGCATGACGACGGTCCTGGGGGTGCCGTTGCACATGCTCTCGAGACGGTGGTCGAGAGAAGTCGTCCTTCGTAGAGTCTGCATCGATATCAAGATCCAGAATGGCATCTGCATTCAGCTCTGACACGTCGGCCGGCTCTGTAATATCTGGCAGAGCAGCAACAGGCTTTGGCTTGCCTCGAGACCGAATGAACTGCATGACCTTGTTGGCTTCCTCCATGTAGTCCTTCGTGGCCAGTGATGGCTTGCGCGAATCATTGTTTACTTGGGCTGCTTCCTGCGCAAATGTGGCCAGCTCTGCAGCCAGAGCTTCTGTGAGGTCTTCATTGACCACTTGGGGTCCCGGTCCTGCTTCAACAACTTCGGCACCTGGTACTACCGTGACCCGACTGATGGAAGAAGATCTTCTCGCCGATTTCGGTCTTAAAAGATCCCGTGAAGCAAGGACTTCTGGATCTGCCTCGAACCCTTCGTCACCAGGCCGGGCATCCTTTCTCTTCTTCCCAGCATATGTGGCTGCTTCTCCCAGCTCGGGAATCTTGACTTCAACCTCGTTGGTTGGTAGCGACACCTGGCCGTCGACAAGTGTCTTTCGTCGTTTGTTTATTCTCTCTTTCTCGGCGTGGGCGATGATTTCTTTCTGCTCTGTGCTTCCCTGATCCACTTCGAGGGCGGTTTCTGTTGCGGCTGCGCCGGGGTTTGATTCAGAGACATGCAACGACTGTGACGAAAGAGATTTGAAGATTCTATCCTCCGGCTTCACTACTGCTTGTTCGACTGGGGATGGTCTGCGAATGTTTTGTTCAAAGCCAAATCCGTCAAGCTCACCCTGCCCAAATTGACTCATGCGAAACTCGGTCTCTTGTGCCTCCTCCGACGACGTAAGTGCAGTCACTTTCTCACGCGATTCGTCAGGCTCTTCAAAATGGCTCAAGATACGCATGAGCTTATTGTTCGTGTACGTGTCTCGATTTCCGAACAACTTCAAGGGGCTTCCAGAGGATGGGGGCCGAAGCTGATTCTCTGTGTGATGAATAACACTCGTATCTTGCGGCGTTGTTGGCGCACTTGCACTGAGCCTGCTTTGATCTATGCTATCATCAAGGGCTCGTGAAGCGGGGGGCGGCGAACTGTAAAACTGAAAATCGGGTCTCTGGTGCGGCTCAATTTGGGAAGGCTCTTGACTGAGGCTGAGACTCTTGCGGAGGAACGATGCTTCATTCGAACGGCCGCCACGTCGCGAATTTATGAAGCCTCCACCTGTAATGAAATCTTGCGTGCCCATAGACAAGTCGTCAGGTAAAGATTGAGAGGTCAGATCAGGCAGTGGTTCATCCTGGAAGTGTTTTTCGGGATCTTTGTTGTCCATATAGCTGATGCGGCTGTCGCTCAAGCTTGAACCCGGCCGGTCATCCTCCCTCGAAGCGGCACTTTGCAATTTACCTTTCAATGCGTGTATATCAATATCTGTGCGTAGCACTGTATCACGGATCGAGTTTTGTTTCGACACCGTGACTGGAGAAATGAACTCGTTTCGCAATTCTTCTTGACCGCTGATCGTTCGCCATCGTGGATCCTGCACATTATAGCCCCTCGGTGATGACGGCGTAGAGCGACTTTTCTCAGCACCCTCGAGGGATTGGACTCGTTGCTTCACCAAGCCTCGGAGAGAACCAGTCCTTACGAGGTCCGATGATACTGCAGACAAGTGTTGATGCTCCGCCTCTTCCTCCTCATTGACCTCTTCCAAAATCTCCAGGTTTAACCGACTTCTGTTGACTCGATAGCTGGAATATTGTTGTTCGGGAAAGGGATTGGTTGCAGGCAGATTGAACGGCTTCCGGACTGAGCCAGTCTCAGGTTGCTCGACCCTATCACTCTGTAACTGCGATGAATTCGGCTGTTTGAAAACGCCCTCTAACTTTGAAGGCGAGAATAGATCGAAGCCGTCGCTATTGATGTCTTCCCCTGCAACCAGCCGTCTCTTCCATTCTGGTGTTTCCGCCAACGAGGGTTTTTCGTGGATGGAGTGATGTTGTACTGAGTTCTGGGAATCAGAGAAAACACTTGATGTTCGGCGCGGCAGGCTTGACTGTTTCTGTGAACTGAGGACATTCGGCAGGTTGAGACTGGAGGCGCTCCGTTCGCGGAGGATGGATTTGCTGCTCTGGCGGGCTTGTCCACGACTTGATCTATGTCTCAGAAAGCTCCCGTTGGACGATTCTTTACGGATGTTGTTGGCGAGGTGCGGGATGCGACTTTGTGAGTGGGATAGTGCAACACTACCATGCTGAGGATTACTTGCGAGAGAAAGCGCAGGGGAGGATGAGCGGTGTTCAGACTTCCAGTCTTCTGACAAGGAATCGAGCCACGGCTCCATTGTGGATGTGGTTGAATGAGATATGAACAATTGGTGCGACTGGGTGTTCGCAATGGGTACCAGGATCGCGACAAGGAGCACCAGGATAATGCTCAAGCCGACGATCTGAATATCGCATACAGAAAAACAATGTAGCCTGTAACCATAGCTGAAGAGGGTGTAGAGGGTGGGTGGACTGTGTGGGAACTATCATAGAGCATGCGGGACATAAGTGGCCGGTGTGTATGAAGAGACTCGCGACGCGGTTCAGAATCATGTGTCGAGCCTCTTCCGACACTTTTGGGTCCGTTTCGGATATTTTTGCTGCCCCCACAATCACACACCGGTTTGTTGCCAGGCAACGGCCATCCTCCAATCTTTGCCAACACTCATCCCCGCCTTTCACTTCAACTGGTTTCATCCATCACTCTTGAAAGAGAGACGATACTCTATGCTCTTAGACAGCCTGGCAAAGACTCTAAAGGCAAGTTCTTACCTGCGTCGGTGCTCGCTAACCTGAACCGTCGCAGCGCACCCTTCCTCACACACCTCTCAGTCACAAGTATTCACGTGGACAAGTTCCTTTGTCGCAAGATGTCGTATCTCCCTAGAGAGGCCGTCAATCTCACTGGCGGCTGCTACTGCCAGGCCATCCGATACACTGTCAGAGTTCCAGCCTGGGACAACCGCCCTGCTGTTCCTGGTGCCCTCGAGACTCCCATCTCGTCAACCGAAAAGATCCAAACGAGACTTCCTTTGATTGACATCGACCATTGTGGTGATTGCCGACGTCAAGCTGGCTGTTTGGTTCAATGTTGGCTCATAATCCCCGTCGACTGGGTGGAATGGGACATGCAACTGAAAGAAACTGCGGGCAATGAGCAAATTCTTCGTTTGTCTACCCGCGACGCTGTTGGTCCTGCCAGTGAGACGGAAAGCTCTTCCTCGAATTATGTATCGCGCTTTTGCTGCACTGATAGCGCAACGAGGGCGTTCTGCTCACGTTGCGGTACAAACCTTACATACCTGAACCACGAATACCTTGATACGCCACAGGCATTTGTCGATATTACTGTCGGTAGCCTCGATCTGGAATTTGTCAAATTGGCAAAGCCAGACCGACATGGCTGGTGGGACTTTGGTGTTGACTGGATCAAGACTCTACTGAGAATGGGAGACGGCGGGTTTCTGATCAGACACCATACAGGTGATGTAACTCGAGCTGTGGAAGACTGAAAGTAGTGCAATAAATAAACGTTCTGGTGGTCCAGGGCGTGAAGACTACATATTTCAATCCTGACCAGGTTCAAACTCTCTTGAGTGTGCCGTATGTTGGTCATGATAGCCTTATACAATGCGAGATACTCGGAGGTGTCTGAGGTTCGGCATGTAAGAAAGGAATAATATAATTGTTAGCATCTCGTGAGGCACGACACATTGCCCGATTCGGACATTGACAGACCGAGAGACCGATCACGGCCCTGTCATTTGAAAATTGTCACCAGCTAAAGTATATTGAACTCCATTTACAAAGTGCTCCTACTTTCCCTCCGCAACGCCGACCTGCAACTCAAGCATCCAAAAGTGAAAGGGCCGCCTCCTGCCTCTCCAAGGCATCGGCACTTCCAGGAATGATCGAGCATGATGTGACCCTGCAAGCAGCTCCCCGAGGGGGAGAAACAGTCGTGAACACGCCATGGACTCGGTCCCTCATCGTAAATCCCTCCTCCTCCCTCCTCCGCATGTCGACCGAGCCATGATTTTCTGACGGCATGGCCATGATGAACAGGCGGGCGCCTTCGCCGGCCTCACGGTCGACTTCTCGCTATATCCTCTCGACACGATCAAGACGCGCCTCCAGTCGAACCTGACGACCAGCAAACATGCGTCCATCCTCCCACGCCATACCCTCCAGGGGACGTTGCGGAGCATGTACGCCGGGCTCCCGTCGGCGCTGCTCGGTTCGATGCCGTCGGCTGCGTCCTTCTTCGTCGTGTATGACGGCGTCAAGAGAGCACTGATTGATCCGACGACGCAGTCTTCTTCGCGGCAGGCCTCGACGCACATGCTGGCCTCGTCGCTCGGAGAGATCGCGGCCTGCGCGATCCGCGTGCCCACCGAGGTCGTCAAGCAACGGGCCCAGGCCGGGCTTTTTGGTGGCTCGGCCCTGCTCGCGCTGCAGGACATACTGGGGTTGAGAAAGACCGATGGCTACGCGACCATGGTCCGGGAGCTCTACAGAGGAGGCGGAGTGACTATCATGCGCGAGATACCCTTCACCATCACCCAGTTCAGCCTGTGGGAATACTTCAAGGCTTCATACTCGGACCGACAGCACAGACTCACCGGACGCCATGAAGGCTTGGTCACCGCGTCCGAGAGCGCAATCTTTGGCAGTGTCGCAGGAGGCATCGCCGCCGGGTTCACGACACCGCTCGACGTGCTGAAGACGCGCATCATGCTCGCTCGCAAGGAGGTAGGCAGTGCCTCTGCTCGTGCCGGCCCCCTCAAAGTACTGCAGCAGATATGGAGGGACGAGGGCGCGGCGGGTCTGTTTCGTGGCTTCGTGCCCCGTGTCGGCTGGATCAGTACGGGCGGCGCAATCTTTCTCGGCACATATCAATATGTCTCGAACCTGCTGGGTCCTGAAGACTCTTGATGGTTCTGACATGGTGCCGCCATCTGCGATCGACCGCACAATTTGGAGGCATCTGGACGGGTTCAATGTCGCGCCCGGAAATTAGAAAGGTTATTCATTCTATATTCAGTCCAGATCCGCCGTGTATACAAGTACTGCAACTTTTCCCTCTTCTTTTTTTCCTTTCTTTTTCTCTTGGTTTTTCTTCTCCTTGAGGACCTTCTTTCCCTACCTCTTCCCCCTTCTTCCCCCTCCCCCCCTCGGAGCAAAACTGTCAACAGCAGCATCCCAATGCACCGCACCCATTTTCATTGTTTGTAGAGATCTCTCCTCTTGTCAAATCCTGGTCTACAAATAATGCATGCATGCATGCAGGCCATCGCCATCTTCCTCACCCTCGCCTTCTCTCTAGTAGTGAACATATGTACCCAAGTCAGTTACCTGCTTGCTTGACTGTGTTTGGTATTTGTTCCTTGTGATGGTCTCCACTTGATTTTGACGCTCCGCTCTGCCATACCCTGCACAGCTACTCAAGGTACAAAAGGCTAGGAACTCCCTGCAGAAGCTCTACCGCACTACACCCGTAGTCTCCTCGCTCTCTACGTCCGTGGGTACCTGTGAAGGATGAGGCAACCTCAACTGCTTCCTGCCGTTGCTTTTATAGTACAGAACCACGTCGCCGCCCGTGCGCCACACGTGCACGCGGAGCGTGGCGAGGGTGGTGTTGGGGTGCACCAGTTGGTTCTGGCAGTAGAGTTCCAGGTACTCCTCGGGCTTCAGCTGAGATTCTGGGCTCTCTTCTGGTTCGACGGCGGCGTGAGGAGGTACATCCAAATGTTCGGTCTCGGTGGACTGCTCGCCTTCTGCTGCTGTCTCGCTAGGAGGAGCTTGTTGTTGGACTGGAGGAGCCTCAATTCTTTCCGCGATGTACGCCATGATCTTCTTCGCGCGGAGCATGCGATTCGCGTTGAGCCGAGCATTGCCATCGGGTGAAGCGATAGGTGGAAGCAAATTCTCATAGGGGTGCAGGACAAAAGAAACCTTGACGGTGTCCTTGTAAGGGATTTGGTTCTGTTTGCAACAAAGGGTCAGTGGCTCGATCCTGGGACAAGTGACACAAGAAAAGACGCGGAGAGACGAGGTAAAGAAACAAACACTATTACGATGGGAACTCACCCGGAGTAACAAGTCTCCCAACCACATCGGAGCAATCTTTTCAAGTGTGTCCACCTCCGCAGGATTTCCCAACTCACTGATCTCACCCCTATATTGGTCTGCTAATCCGCCACTTTCGGGGTTATCCTCCTGGATAATAATGGTGGTGTGCGGTGGCGGATGCAGCACCGGTGTTTCTGTTGGCGGCGGAGGAGTGATGCCTGGTGGCAGCGGTTGATCCGTTTTGGACTCGAGATGCTCATCATACTCTAGACGTATCTTCTGGACGACACCGAAAAAGTTGTCTTCTATGTTGACCTTCTCGACATCTTTCTCTGAAGACCTGACGGAGGCTGTGTCAGAAGACCTCTCCTCTGTCGATGCAACAGGCGCCTTCACTTCTGCAGACGAGCGGCTGGTCATCTTCTTGGGAAAGGACATGCCCATGCCGAACTTCTTGCCAAAGAGGCCCTTTTTCTTCTCCTCGGTAGGTGATGTGGGTGTCGAGACCAGACCGTGAGCGTTACTTTCTGTCGTTGCCGGGCCACCTCCAGGTGTTTTGGGAACCTTTTCGCTTTCCGAAGACGCCTCAGATTGACTATTTCCCGTAGCCGTAGTGGAAGAGAAATAGTCGACATTCTGGGATTCCGTCGCCGATGGCGTTGGTTGCACATGAGGGGTTTGCACTCGCGGGGTTTGCCCTAGAGATGACCGCGAAGGAGCCCCGTTGGGAGTGCGTGTGGGCTCTTCTTCTGCGGTGGGAGGAAGCGTAGCGGTCAATGGCGCAAAGCCTGGTGTAGCGGCGCCAATGGCCAACCCAGGAGTTGCGGGCACCATCGAGTGGCCATTCGATGCACGAGGCGTCACAACTGTCCCGGGCGACACCAAGGGCGTCGCGCCAACAGATTCTGGCAATTTGATGCTGGTTGGTGCACCAGGTCGAACCAGACCGGTAGGAGGAGGAGCACTGACAGAGCTTTGAAGTGTGCGCCTATAGGCTTCATCTCGAGCAACTTCTTCGTCAATGAGCTTCGAGAACAGGTTACGTAGTACCCATTTGCCGAGATTGACTGTTGAGGTTGATTGTCAGCGTCAGCTCATAGCTTTTTCGAGCCGGGATCGACCTACTTCTCTGATCCTCGCGAAAGGCAAGATCGCTGGGCAAGTCCAGCTCATCTGCGTATACTTCAGCATCAAAGCAGTAATTCTCCTCGAGCATAACTGTAATCTTTCCAGTCTTCGTATCCACGCCACACCAATTTGCAACACTTTCAGTTGTATTGACATCGGGGACAACTTCATCGAGATGACGACGGCCAAAGGACTTGATGGGAATGCACTAATTTACGTCAGTGTGCGAATATCACCTTCAGTGAAGGTGTCCCATACCTTGAGAAGATCCCACAATACTACCTCGCCCGCTGTATCCAATGTGAGTATCCTTTTCCTGTCGTTCAGCATCACATGTTTGATGAGTCCATTTTGACCCTCGATAGTCTCAGCAGGTTGGCCCCTGATAGGGACGACCAGACTCAAATCATCGGTGATCATGGCCTCCGAAGCCTTCCTCAAATTTGTCGCCGACACATTCGGGTGTCTTCCCAGGTGCTTCCTACCTGGATGAAGAGCTGTGTTTGACACGCGGAGAATGGCATTGTGAGGGATTCTCTTTTTCTGGTCGACTTCACCGTTTGTGGTGTCATTGGTGGTGCCGTTCGTAGTTGGTAGAGGCGAAGACGCCCGAGGCTCAGGGCTTAAGTGACTTCTCGCCTCTGGGCTCGCGGTCCTTTCTTCGCGAGGGGATGCAGGAGGTGTTTCAACCTCGAGCTCGGTATCGACATCGAGCCAGCGATTGACGCTTGAGCTCGAGGTTGCAGTCCAGACAGAGTCCCCGACAGGAAGCACCCGAGCAATACCATCGTGTTCTTGACACACAGCGACTGACACCCCATCATCAATTTCCATTGCACGTCGAGTATCAGTCTTGGCCACCAGACCTGACTTATCTCCCGAATAAAAGACAGCCAGATTAGGATCGTCCGAGTACATGCACCACACGCTGTCATTGTGCATGGTCAGGGTGTGAATGCATCGACCAGCCGCAATAGACCAGACCTTGATCGTCTGGTCGGAGGAGGCAGTAAGCAGTGTATCACCATCGTCGCTGATCAGGATGTCCCTGACGTTGTCTGTATGTCCAACAAGCTTAGTTATACCTTTGCCGGACTTGATATCCCACAGTCGAACGACACTCTCGGGCCCTCCGCTAGCAAGGAGAGAGCCTCTCGCGCGTAGGCAGTACACTGATCCCTTGACCACGTCCTCTACTTTTCCCAAGTTGATTTCAAGATTTTTGCCACCCCCATTTAAGTCCCAGAGACAAATCCTGTGGTCCAGGCCTCCGGAGGCAACCCAATTGGCAGTTCGATCAGGTGTTGCGAGGCATTTGATATAGTCACTATGGGAGCCGATGGTGTACGCTTGGGATGATTCGTGAGCGTGAGGCCTCCATAGTTTGACAGTGACATCGGATGAGGCAGAAACTAGTCCAAGGTTGTTCTTGACCAGGACAATATCATTGACCCAGTGGGTATGCGCCTGCACCTGCTTGCGGAATGACACAGTGCTTTTCTTGTGCTTTGCTGCGCCCGCCTCTTGTTGATTCACCCTCTGCGCCTCCAGGTCCAGATCCCATGCGCATATGACGCCATCTCTGCCGCCTGTGTATCTGTACCATGGTTCAGTATTCGTTCTCTGCGATCGGTATCAAGGGGGGGGCTGCGCACAGTATGGAACGGTCATCATCGAATGCTAACCCGTTCACCCCGAGTCTATGGCCACCCGGTGTACTAGCCAGAGGCAGTACTGCTCATCATTAGCCAAACGCACTGGAGAAGGGTGAGCAAAGACGACAAACCATAGCTGATCCTCTGGCGCTTCTTCTTGGCCATATGCAGGTGATATACAAAAGCCCCTCGATTCTCTGGCCCTTTGCGACAAACAAAATCGGCGTCTCTCAACTGGCCATTTCTGCAGGATCAAGTCAGAAGAACACTACCGTGGTCACAATTTCGCCTCCGACGTCCTTTACAGAGGTTGCAGAAGTCTGGGAGAGCTACATCGGCAGATCACGTAGCATTTAGCCTGCGGCCGTTGTGAAGTGCGGGCGATGGTGGACTGCGGATGGCACGCCAGTCAGAAGCTAGTCCTGCGAGTGCCTGTTCCAGAAGCTGGGGGCGGGACAAAGCCACAGAGCCACTCTTGGTCTTCGTGATATCAATTGATGGATTAATTAACTAATCAATACGGGCTTACATTGTCCCGAAGCAGTACTCGGTATCTTTACTTCTTTTCTTGCCCCATTGAACTCGTGACTGGCTTCAACATACCTCGAAGAGGTCTGATTTGTGGCTGAACGTTATAAACTGGTATCTACAAATAATATCGAGGCCCTTCGTAGATGAGATTTTCAAACACTCTGGTTCTCTCCAACGCGCATTCAACCCAAAGGCCCTTGGCCATCAAAAAAACAACGTAACCCATCAGCCGTCATGCTCCCAGGACATTTCAATCTTCCCAATGCGACACAATGCGATCCCGTCAAGTACTGCCGTGCGATATACTCGTATCATAGCATAGCCCTTGTTCCATCATCGGTCTCCAGTACTCCTGGCGGTTTTCCGATCCGCCAGCCTTGCCCATTACTTGGCTGGCGGCGGTCCGCCGGAGCCGGCTTCCAAAACGTGGGTGTGGCCTTCTGCATGATGAACAGTCCCATTTTCTTCTTGATAACAGACTCGTGCGTTCAACACCCAGTCGTCCTCGAGAACTTCTTCCATCGTCGCACGTTCGGCTGGGTCGATTTTAAGCATGCGGCCAATGATGTGACGGCTTTCCCGCGGAAGAATGCGGAGGAGCCGCCATGGGCCTTTGATCACTTCCTGTTTATCCCCACCGGACGTCGAAGGCCGCCCTTCATCGACGCTCTCCGAGTGGTGATGGTGATGATGCGACGAATTAGCACTGCCGTTGGCATTATCTTCGCTCGGGCTTAGATGCGAAGCCTTCCTAGGGTGTGAATCTGGGACGGGCGTGCCTGGTGTAGGCGGAGAAGCGAACAGTTTGTAAGAGTTGTCAACAAGCCGTGGCTGTTTCCATGGAAAGCGGCGAAGCGACATGCAGCAGAAAATAATCGCAAGAGACCAGATATCCGTTGCCGTTGGATCGTATTTCTTTTCTTCATACACCTCTGGAGCGAGATAAGGATCCGATCCAACAATACCTGCAAAATAATGTTAGCGCACCTCTTGATATCAAGGACCGGGTGGGTTGTCCACGAACCTGAAGCCAGTACAATTTCGTTCTCGAAAGGATATCTGAACACTGTGGCACTCCCAAAGTCAATCAACTTCATGATGCCGTGCTCGCTTACCACCACATTATCCAGCTTGAGATCGCGATGTGCCAGCCCCATGCTGTGCAGGTAGCTGACTCCGTTGACAATCTGAAGGAATGAACATGCAATCTCCTCTCTGCTCATCTTTCCTGTCATCACGATGGCAAAGAGATCGTACGGTGCATATTCCATCACCTCGTACCACCGGTGATTTTCTTGGATGATGTCCATCGTTTCGATAATGTTGCCATGGTGTAGAGTCGAGCCGATACAAAACTCTGCTGTGACCTTTTTGGAGTAGTCCTTCTCGCTTTCCCAGGAATGTTTCTCCCGGAATTGTTTGACAGCAAACGTGACTCCATCGCTGCTTCGCTTGAGCAATCTTACGGAACCGCCCGCTCCAGAGCCGAGGACCTTGCCAAATTTTCCATACTTGGCCTCAAGGCTGTGGTCATCCATGAATGGAACATTGGATGGTGGAGCTTGGTGGGGAGGTGTCCTTGTTCCCGACCTATGGCTGGACTTGCGCGAGGCTGGTACACTCGATGGTAAAGAGTCTTGCTGGTTATTGTGCTTCTTGTGGCCATGGCCGAGTCTGAAGAATCGTTTCAGTTCAGACATTGACCCATGTTTTCTCCCATCTAAGCCACTCTTCTCGCTACCACTGTCAGTGACGTGAGAATATGGATCTTTCTTGTTCGATCCAAATATCGATCCTCGCTTCTCAGCGAGATCTGTAGAACTTGATTGTCGTGGTATTCGCTCTGCCGCCGCCGCAATGGCCGGGGCCAGGGAGCCTCTTCCCAGGCTTCCGAAATGCCGCGGCTCAGGGGGTTTCTGTTGGGCTCCGAGTTGTGGGGAGGAAGGTCCAAGTTTGGGCGTTCCGACGGGACTCTGATCGGCTGGGGTAGCAGATTCGGATGGGCCTATTTCGAACTTGGCTATACGTCGCTCATGACCTTGTTCTGGCTTCGTTGGCGGCTGATCGGAGGTCCGAGGCGGGGAGACAGGATGAGAAGGTGATATCGACTGAGATAGTCTCTTGCTCTGGGAGTCTGGAGGTGGGGATGTTTGCGGAGTTATTGCGTTTTGGCCTTGCTGGCCACGGCCAGCTGCGATTGAGTCTTGCTTCCCGTCTTTTGAGCCATGTGGTGTCAAGGGAGGCGATTGAAAAGCAGAGGACATGGAGCCGTGTCCTTGTCTTACTGAACTACGAGGTGTACCCGGCGTCTCACTGTCTCTTGAAGGAACCTTGAAACCGTCTTGTCAGCTTTGATACAGTAAGATGAAAGATTCCGCGTACCCGTGAGGGAGGCATGGACACCGTTTCGTAGGCAAAATGTGCCAGGCGGCTCTCCTGCAACCGTGACTTTTGTAGAGACATGGCCAAATTCCTAATCTGTTCGTGTGCCTCGGGGCTGAGCTCTTCATTCTTTACCCCGCTAGCTTCTGAAGGACGCCTCGAATTGTCCAGAGCATCTATCTCTTCATGTTGCGAAGCAAATCGCACAGCCCCTTGCGTTGACTCTGGATTGTCTTTTTTCTGGGTGTTCTGTTGCGGTTCTTGCTGCGCTGTAGCATCTATGGTCGCCGAGTCAGCCACTTGTACCTAGATTCTGCTCTTTCAACATCTCTCCCGTACCTGCGTCTGCTTTAGAATCGTCGCCGGGTAAAAACATCGCGGACAATTTGGAGGTCATGGTTATCGGAAGATCGTGGGCCGCAATAGTGGTGATTACGGTAGAGATCGGAAGCGAGAGTGATCGACTACATTAACGAGTGGTGGTCCCTGATAGACTTTCCTGAGGACAGCAAGAACTGAGATATGGCTAGAAATGAAAGATCTGGCTCAAATGCAGGTTAGAATAGAGGTTAGAATCAGAGAACACTGTGTTGGGGTGGCTCGTCGGGAGGAACAAATGAGCTAATACGGGTAACGAAAAAGCATTGGCCGGGTCAGGACGAGAGATGGAACTCACATGCTTTTCAGTTACGTCGCCTGCGAGATTTTAATTTCTTGCCTCCGATTCATTCAACACAGTCGGAAGGACCGAGAAGAAGCGGATCTGGTGGAGCGACAGGTTCAACAGGTTTGACAGATGGGAAGGTAGGAAGTGAGACAGCAGGAGGCAGGATAGCTGGAAGCCGTCGTGGCCTGGTCTGGCATATGAAAGCGGTGTCCAAAGAACGTCAGGTACAGTAATAACAGCTGTATGCTCACTTAATAACCCAACAAGGTCTTTCGAGAGATGCGGGAGGGCAAGCGGGAGAAGTTTCAGCGACTCAGATGCAGCCACCACCACAATGACCACCACTAGCAACCTAGCGCAACGAGACAAAAAAGGTGGGATGTTCATAAATTGCCCCGCTACGCCGCTACCCAAGCCTATTGCGTCCCTTCTCAGCACATCATTAGTCCTTGCAGCGGGACAGACATTCTACCGGCTGGGTGTTTTCAGAGTTCCCCTGGTGGTCGATACTTGTGTGGTGCACACCTCCCTCCACGGCACCACCACTCGATGGGCCTAGGGAAGAGCAAGGACCCTTTTTCCATTCTGACATATGGGATAATGTCATTTAGGCTGACCAGAGATGCCAGATCGAGCTCATGAGCGCCGGGCTCGCGGGAATCCCAAACCTCAATGATGGCTATCGCAGATAGCCTTCTACCCACCTACTACCACTTCCACGCTATGACCACTCCACGCCTCAACGGACCATAGAGCGGAGCGCAGAAACGACCGACCGGCTTTGGGTTGTGTGACATCCGTTCATTTGCAGAACTGCTTCTTCCATTGCGACTAGGTATTATTATTGCTCGGGTTTTTTGCCTCCAGCTTTCTCATGCGAGGATTCCCTTCCGGCCCAGCCGGAGGAAATAATATGATGACAATGCTGCATATCATATCATACATCCACACCTTAGCTCTTCGCGACTGACGAGTCGTCCCCGTCTGCCTGAACGAGGCACAAGGTTCTTTCAGGCAAGACGTCATCTTCGTTCTCGTATTCTTTTTGCTTCCCGAAAAACGAGTTCAACTTTGTCAGGCCGAGGGACTTTTGATTTGACGATGCGCGTACAGTGACCGTTTTGCATTACATGAGCCACTGGGCCTAATTCTCTTACGCTTTGTGACCCTCCTAATCCACCGGAACCCATCGCACAAGATGACCCTCACCGAGGCAAGTTTGTCCTTGGAATTGACGCTGTCCCCACGGGGTCGCGTGGTTGTTGGATGCAAGATAGTCGAAAAGGAGATAGAGTAGTGTCCAATATCTGTCCCCGGGCTCCTGTCCATACCATCTCGGCTTTCTCTCGGCATAGCCGGAGGCAAATCCTTGTCTCCAAAAGAGATGAAATATGATCATCTTCATGCTGGACGTGCTGTTTGCTCCTGCGACTCCATGCATCTGAACGCGTTGTGGGTAAGGGCGCTCTGCCGCTGCCCATCTGAGGGTTCGGCCGATACCAAAGCAGTCGTCATCCTTGGTTCCATGGTAACTTTCTCCGCCAGTCGTCTAACCTCATACCCAAAGCTTGAGATTGTGTTGTACAAAAAGATATTGCTTTCCCAGACCCCAGTGAGTCCACAATCCTCTAGGTCCCTTTCAGTGGAGGTGCAGGATCTGCCAAATGTAGGTATCGAAGGGATTTGTGAGTATTTCATCGGTAGAATGCTCCGTCATGGGTCGGTGAGCAATGCGGGCTGAAATCACAGCCGCTCCGAGGTTTGATCTGGGTTGGCACGCTGGTATCTGTTCTGTGGTGGCTCGGGTTACGGCACAACTTTAACGCCAATCGACTTGCATTGCCACATGATACATTTGCAGAGACCTTCGAGACTTAATCCAGATAGCCGTGTCTCACTCTGTTTGATTTTTGCAATCTCGTATATGTGTTTGAGTGACACTGTCCCGACACTTTCGTGGCCTGGCCGTTGCGCCCCTTTGATTTTGCCCTTCACCTCTTTCACTCCAGCAGCTTGGAGGAGTAACCAAGATGTGTTGGGCGTGCGAATGTCGAAGCTGAAGGAGCGATCAGGACGGACTGTCACTCGAGCCGGAATGGGTACACCAGGGGTAATATGTGCGGTTCGGGCATTGAATTCCTTCTCCAGCATCAGCAAGACCATTTCTCGGCCACTCGGTCAAATATACGTACCTTGCAGAAGTCGATGCTCTTGACACCTTTGCTACCTAGCGCGGGGCCTACTGGAGGACTTGGACTGGCTTGACCAGCGCCCACAATCAATTTGACAATCTGGTCACGCGCAGGTACCTTCTTCGCCATGATGGAATTGCTATGTGCAGGTTCAATGTGAGGATTGGGTCGTGAACGCAGACGTCGACCGGTGGTAGAGGAGTCTAGCAATTTGAGTGCCAGGAACAACTATGCTCCAAATGGAGAGAAGGATAAATTAATAAGGAGCTTGAGATTGCGACGAGTCTTTTGGAAAATATTGAAGCTCCAGTCTCGATAGAGCAAACTCCGCGTAGCGCCAGCGGTAGGGAGCGCAGTTACTGGCGACTAAGCCCCGAAAGATCTAGCGCAGATTACTGACTGGCGTGCCGTCTGCATCCGCCCAGATGGCCACAAGGCACCTGGGCTTTAAGCCTGCAAAGGGGAAGCCTAGCCTTTAAATTTCTGTTAGTCAGTGGGCGGCTCTTTAAGTGCGACAACCATTTCCCCCCAAGGCACCCCTGGCACCCCATTCGCCTATAGTGACGTCGAGTTTCCCCTGGATGGCTGATGCATCAATTATTATCTAGACCTCCCCGTACATCCACAGGCTTACATTTTGCCTATTGTAACTGATAAACATCCCGTTGGTTTCCCTGCCATTCTCTTCAGACTCTGCAACACAGTACTACAGACAATATGAATTGGTTCAAGCAGCAGTTAGCCAATGTCGTGGGCACCGAGGAACCTGAATATGGGCCCTCCGCAGTCCAACCTGTGACCAAACAGGAAGTGCCCTATTCTATCCTGTCCAAGGATGATTTGCGGTGGAAGGCCATGGACCACACAAATGTCGAGACCGAGACGTTTTATTTCTATGCCGATGATGGGACGACCGCCCTGGCTCAAGTCATTTACAGCAATGTTGGGTAAGGATTGTGCAATCAGAAGGACAGGCCGCTGATGAGTACACCGCTGACCGTCAATTTGTAGTGGACTCCATACCACCGCGCAGTTCAACAGCAAAATCTTCGACTACGAAGGCCCAGGAAAACATCTCTGGTGCTCGGATCCGCTGAAAGACTACGGCTTCGACGAGCCGAAGACAAGCTTCTACGCCGATAATGTGGCTCTGGAAATGAATGAGGCGGGTGACACGTACACAATCAAATCTGCAAGAAATGACAACTGCATTGTCAACTTGACTGTTAAAAAAGCGGCACCGGGATTCCAAGTCGGTAAAGATGGCACAACCTACTTTGGCACTGATCACAAGAATCCGTGGGGCTCAATGCGACACGCTTTCTGGCTGCGGTGTACAGTGACCGGCACCATGCAGACGCCTACTAAGACGTACAATTTGGAGGGTAAAGGCACTTATATCTACGCACTTCAAGGAATGAAGCCACACCACTTGGCAAATAGGTGGAACTTTGCCAACATTCATACAAAGGACTATTCGGCCATTCTGATGGAATATACGACACCTGCCTCTTACGGAAAGACTACAGTTGGGGTTGGCGGTATCGCCAAAGATGGAGAATTGATCTTCGCTGGCGAATGTACCGCCGAACATCTCACGTCGATGCGAGAGACTCCCCACGACTGGCCCGAGCCAAGGACGATATTATGGAAATGGGACGGACAGAAGGATGGCAAAGCTGTTCATGGTGAAATCAGGGGCGATCTACCAGCCAAATCAGATCGGGTGGACGTCCTGGCACATTTGCCCGGCTTCGTCAAGTCTTTCATTGGTCATGCGACTGGCTTGAAGCCACACATCTTCCAGGTAACAAGACCCTGTGGCCTTTCCCGAACTTCTGTACAAATACTAATATGCCGAGCAGTATCTCTCAAATGATCAGCTCGAGCTGAAGATCAAGGTCGGCGACGAGCCCGAGATCTCGGAGCCTGGCAAAGTCTTCAGTGAGGCGACGTTTATCTCATAAAGACAAGAACCCGAATCAGGTTTTTTGTATTCATGACATTGCATGACTGGAATAGAAATTGGATGAGGGCAGGATAGGTAAAGCATGGTTTGAATATGGGAGATGCTTTGTCTTAAACCAGCTGTTTAATGTGTAATTCTTCGACACTCTCGTTCCATTCTTCACTGGTCTCTTTGTTCTTCACTCTGCCTTTGTCCCTCTCGCCTCACTTTCCGTTCTCCTTCTTTAAATTCACTTCACCTCTTCCAGTCGTTGATCTTTTTCAACACATCTCAATTCTGTTTCATCGGCTCATACCACTATCATCATCCACTCGAATCCTCACAACCATCTCCAGTTTCTACCTGCTGATTCCGCTCCCATACTGCCCTCCCTGCCCTTCGCTGTTTTCTCAACAGTCGCTCTCGCTTTCACAGGCACTCAAGAACTCATCATGCCAGCATCTCAACTCACCTTCCGGGGGAAGGGTTTACACGGACACACAGTTCCAAGACGGCACAAGAAAATAATCAAAGACAATATCAACTCGATCAGTAAGTTTTTCGCCCCGTCATTCCTCTAGAGTCTCATCGAATCTCTGCTCCTGTCTGTATCCAGGCTCGAAGATCAGAAAGATCGATTTGGCTGACTAGTCCTTTTTACTCTACCCAACTACCAGCCAGAGGAGATATCAGGTACTTGTCTAGCTCCGACCATCTCACTTCTGTGTCACCCATGCTAACTCGATGATGTTTGATCATACAGACGCCTCGCGCGTAGGGGAGGTATATACCGCATTCAACAAGACATCTACGATGCGACCCGCGAAGTCTTGCAGGCAAGATTGACTGAGGTGAGAGTTCCAAGTGTCCAGAGAAAAAAAGAATGGATGAAAGGAGAGGAAACAAAAGTTTGCTTGATATTCGACGTTTCTGTCTCTGCCACCGATCGTCGAGGTTTCGCTGACACAATGTCTGTCTGTGCCTTTGTTGTTTGAAAATGCAGGTAATCAAAAACCTCACTCTTGTTCTCGGTAACTCGAGTGATCCTAATCACGAGGACGGGCTTCTCGAGGGTGTCCATGGGAGGAGAAGACGGGTAGGTTGGCCACAATCTCGGCGATCCTGAGTTATATGTCGAAATCAGGTGTCAGGTACTGCTTAATTGATCAACTGACTAACTGACTTACTATCAATGGGGAAACATAGACTGTGACCACCAGAGATGTCATCTTTGTCCTTTATCGAGTGAGTTTGCTTCTTCCTCTCTCCCTTCCTTCCAGCCAGCAAGGCAGCGAGGTGAAAAGCTAATCAGACCCGGAAAATACAGATGGGTACCCCGATCTACGGATTCGACGCTCCCTATACGGGCGCCCAAGGAGGGTCGATTGTCCGCTAGAGGTAGCTTCCAACAATGCCTTGGTATCATGTCTGTCAAATGGGCGTGGAGAGTAAAGAGACCGTATGGGAGCTGTATATGTGAGAGAAAACATAAACTCGGTCGAATGGACTGGACTAGGAAACGATCGCGAACGGAGTATGATGTGGTATGAGAGTGCCTGCTGTCACCTGTACCAAATAAAGACAAAGATATCAAGAGTGGCATATCGTGTGGGACAGCGTTGAGAGATAGGGGCTACCTTCTTGCTGAAGGTTACTGTGCGCATGTGATGTGCAGTGCTATGGAGAAGATCTTGGACAGCACACCCGCTCAGAACAGAGAATTGCCGACGAACAGCAGTAATGGCATGAGATGCACTACAAGCAGATTACAGGACGCCAGAGGAGAATACCTGCCACTGGGCTGTCATTGAGGTCGCCAAACATGGTGAGGAAGATCCAATACAAATTGGGACAGTCTCATCCAGATCTGATGCTTTTTGAGGGGATGGCCACTCTTTCCACCCCGTGACTCTGATTCCACACTCACCGGTCCTTTCGACAAGGATGGAGAGGTCGAAATCTGTTCTCCCTCGTCAAAACTCACCATTAACACTTCAACAACAACTTGCCGGTCGTCTTCCGTCCCTCCAAGTCAATGTGCGCCTGCTTGGCCTCGCTGAGCGGATACACCTTGTGGATTTTGATCTTGAGTTTGCCTGACTTGATCAGATCCAGCACGCCGTTTGCGTAGAACTCGAGTTCCTGGCGCGTAACGATATAGTTCATCAGAGTGGAACGCATGATGGAGAGATTCTTCGCCGTTAGGCGAGCGATGTTGATGGGAGGAATGGCGCCCGATGCTGTTCTCGCAGAGTTAGAGACTGTGTTGCCAGTAAAGCAGACGGGAGTGTACAGAATGCAAGAAGTTTGGGGATCGTGAGGCTGGCTTACCGTTACCGTAGTACACAACTTTACTCTTTCTCTTTGCGACTTCCATGCTGCCTTCATAGGTGTCTTTGCCCACTCCGTCAAAGGTGCAGTCCACGCCCTCTCCATTCGTCAACTTCAACACTTGCTCGACCCAACTGGGTCCGCTTGTGGCCTTGTAATCAATCACATGCGTTGCACCATTCTCCTTTGCAAGAGCACACTTCTCGGGGCCCCCGGCCGTGCCAATCACGGTGCAGCCCATATCTCTCAGGATTTGGCAGAGGAGCAGCCCCATCCCTCCCGCAGCAGCGTGGACCAGGATTGTTTCGCCTTTCTTGACTGGATATGACTCTTTGACGAGCGAGAGAGCCGTCATGCCCATGAGGAAACCGCCGACCGCATCTTCATCCGATACACCTTGCGGAATTTTAATCGCTCGATCAGCCGGCACAGCCGTGTACTCGGCATAACCCCCTTGCTTTATCCAAACCACCCGATCACCCTCTTTGAATCCTAGTGAGTTGTCTCCTTGAATCTTTGCCACTGTTCCAGCTGCCTCTTGACCGGGAATCAGGGGATAGGATGCGGGGTACAAGCCAGAGCGGAAGTAGGTATCAATGTAGTTGACGCCGGCAAAGTTATTTTTCACCAGGATCTGGCCGTCCTCGAGCTTGGGTAGTGGTTGGGACTCAGTATATTCAAGAACATCAGGTCCGCCGATTTTGGAGAACGAGACCGCCTTCATTGTAGATGGGAGGGACGACATGTTGCGAGTTGTAACTGTGTTCAAGCTTAAGGGCGACGAGGGATATTGACGAAGGTTTAGGTGAGAAGTGAAATGGCCGAGACGAGTGGACGCTGTCGCTGTAGTGGTTATCTTGGTCAATGCAACTCGAGAGTGTAGAGACATGAAGCTTTTATGAGTTGGGCTTGGGCTAGCTTCGGAGCAAATGTAAATCTGTCAACGGCAATATCGCCTTCTCTGATACCGAGATAGAGGGGTTACTTTCGGGCTGTTTCCGTACGACTCGATGCCTCAGCAGATCAGATCGATACGTACCTATACGCTTATCCTCAACTTTGGCTGAAAACACGGCAATCCTCAAAATCGTCATCCCAAATTTCTAAGCATGAACCGCTCAACTCGACCTTCTCCCCGCAACTTGAGGGAGTTGGGGAGCCCCCAGCCGATATCGCACATTACCTATGTAGCACCGTAAGTAAACAATGATTTTGGTAACAGTTGAAAGTTCCGGTTGACTGGCTCTGGATGCCTTCTGTGCTTACGTTTCGCTGCTTGTATTTAAGAAGCAACGATCTTGTCCGGAATTGTGTCCCTAGATTGACCAAGCCATCCCTACTGACCGGTCGATAAGTACCTCGTACTACTTCGTCGTGTTCGTCCAAGCCAAGTTCTTAGGTACCATTTTACCCCGCGTGCCCCTCACGCCTGTGGTGGCCTGTGGTGGCCTGTGGTGGTGGATGGAATTGCTAGCAGCTTTGACTTGACTTACCGTGCCGGTTCGGACCGTAGGAGCTGCCAGTTCATCCTTGCTAGACTGCAGCTGAGACAAAGGTGCCCATAAGTTGTCCAGCGCCCCAACTCTTTGTAGGTTCCAAGGTGGACATGTTTGATCCCCTGGTTGGCATGTGAGCAAGTGAGTTCGGCCTCCTGCTGTGAAACATGTGTTGAGCAGAAATGGCTGAACGAAGGAGGTAAGTTCCGGGCACGAGGGAAGGGTTGAGGATTGCAGATTGCGCCCCCATTATATCATGCTTGGAGATAGAGCATGGCCAACCTAGCCATTGACCGGTCTTCCTTTAGCCGCTTTTCCGCAAACGACAACGTCGCACAAAAGTTCCAACTTCGCCTCGTCAAGTCAGCATGAGATAAGTGGCATATCCAGGCGGCATCTATACAGTAGACGATTTGCTGTAGTTCGTGAAACTGGACCACAAGGCGATATTCGAAGGAGCAAAAGTGGTGTGAAGGCTTGTGGCATACATTTGTATTGGCTGGACAAAACATCTGGCATGACTGTCGGGCCTTCTCTTCCCACTGTCCGCCCAAAGGTGTGAGCGAAGCTGAGTCATGCTGCACTGGTGAAATCAATCTTCCCAACAAGAAAGGATTCCGTGGCGTTATGTATGGGACAAAAGGCCTGCCATTGATAGATTGCCAACGAGGCTTGGGCAGACACCGCTGTGATGGCAAGCCTCGCCACTGGCTCTCACCAAAGCATTGTGGCCGTGCTCTTATGTGTGGCATTCGTTGCTGGTAGACGATCCATGTCAGGCACCATGCACTCATGAGTGGTTCGCAAAAAAAATGGTCTGTCAAAACAGTTCCATCCAATTGGTCCGAGGGACTAGCAGGGCCTTTTGGTAATGTTGATGGAACTTTTCGAGCATCCCACCTCACATCAGCTTCTTGCGGAAGTACGTTGCAGAGTAAGAGGTCTTCCTCAGACGTCGATGAGAGTATCGGGGGGGCTATGGTGTTGGCCCTGTCAGCCTGTGGTGTGCTAATATGCATGCTAATAATGGTAAAATGAGGAAGCCGGCCGAAGGATCGACGGTTGCGTTCATGGCGGCGTCCGAGTGGTATATCACTGCATCAACCGTCTGCCGGAGTCAAGAAATGGAGGCGAGGAGGAATGCTCGCGCAATCATGCATCGACAAAGCTGGGCCATGGTCTTGTGCCACCCTCGGTATGTCCTCAATGCATCAGTAATGGCTTGCAGACCTCAAGAGGGGTGGCCACATGCCGTACCTAGGCAAGGCGCTGTAAAAGTTCCAGGGGGATGCCAATGGGTTGCGAAGGCTCCCAGGCCAGCAAATGAGGGCAGTGGGAGGCGCAGATGGACGGGCGGCAAGGCCAGGGGAGGCAGCTAGTGCATTGGCCTTCATGCAAGAATGATGATGGTGGCATGCTGGTGGTATTGAGAGTTTGGTTAGTTTCGTGTGGGGTGTTGGTGTGCGTGGGTGCGCAGCTTCACCGTCTCATACTTGTGTGTTTGCAACGCACTCGCTTGGGTGTCCAATGGTCGTTTCAAGCAGATCAAGAGCCCTACCGATCCCAACTGCAATCATCCCTGCACAGAAAAGCCTCGTCTCCGTCCCTTGTTAGCAGAGTCTTTACACTGGATAGACTGGGGGACACCGCCATTTCCCTCGACTCCCTCTCATCTCCACTTCAGGTTTCGCCTCAAACAGAACCTCGCGGGTACCCACCACAGCATGCCCCTCCGGATCGCACGCATTTACGGCCCGCTACCGTTCCCCTCTGCCCAGCTCCATTGTTGTCCGATTTGCTTCCTAATGGCCTTGCCTGACGGACACGAAGGCTTTGTCGACTGAGGTGCACCCGGTTAACACATCTTTCAACGCGGACAATATCTCAGCCACCTGTGTAGCCTTTCGATCAAAACTACCCACGACTTCAAAGCCTTGTAAATCGCCATCTTGTGTCCCGGAATCCCTTGGATCGAGTCGATTGCGTCGCCCGCTGTTCACTGGTTGCGGACCCGGCAAGGGAAAGGTTCATCCGTCTGTTGCATATGATGTGCTGATTTCGATCTGGCCTGCTCTCTTTTTACACGACCTACGCCCACTTGCGACACGATTCGAAACGCAGCCACCCCAACTGCCTGCGCCCTACAATACGGGTTCCCTCAGGTGACGGTGCTTCGTCCAACAACACATGAAAATCGCCGCGTTTGCCCCAACAACATAACAAAGACCGTGTTCAGTAACTTTGATGTGTGGCCTGAGGTGCTTTGAAGATTTGGTATATAAGGCTGGTTGGGCTGCACGTGGGACAGCCTGGCAATGAGCGCATGCTTCTACGTTTGGCTACGAGGTTGAGTTGGTTGAGATGATGCAGACTTGGCCGCCGTCCCCCTGCGTGGAGGACGAAGAAGTGGCATTAGCGAGGGAACACATATCTGACATTACTCTAAATCAACTGAAAAACGAAAATCAACCCGCGAGCAGCAGAGGCTCAGTGGACCAATATCCCATCATCCTCGATAACAAAACTCCCGACCAATCCTGCTCTCCAACAGAGAAAGAGTTTATATCAGAAGCCCTATCTCCAGATTCTCACTCGAAACCAGCGGTCAACAATGAGAAGAGATTCGTCCTCGTGCCTTCTCAGTCTTTGGAGCCCGAGGCCGAAACGCATCTTCGACCTGAGCCATTGCATCGACCCAAATCAACAACTCAGCTCTCGGATCAGGCTGTCCCCAGAGGAAGACCTCATGTCACAAGGATACACACAGACGTCGGGCCCGGCTTGGAGGGCATGCGGACGGGCCACCGCCGTGCTCCTTCTCCCTACGCTCATACCCCTGTGGCGTTGATGGGCAATCTGTCTGCAGAGCCTCAACGTAAAAATACGTTGTTGTCACCAATGCATGCCCACGAACCGAGAAGGTCAGCCTCCGTGCACCCTAGATCGGGAGGTTTTGATCGAGATAGCAGTGACTCCGACGGTAAGTCGAAGACGACCAGAAGAACAGAGCGGAGTCGAAGTCGGGCTGCAAGGGAAAGCTTCTCCCACTCAGATAGGTCAGAATCCGACAAGGTCAAGTCTCCAAAATCATCTACGCGAAACGAAAGCCCCAATGGCAGATTTAGTCGCCGTGCCCATCGATACCGCAGCCCGGCACCGCCACCAGGAGGGTTTACCGGCTATACTTATACGGGTCAAGACCATATTACGCCTCCTCAAACTCCCAAGCTCAACGGCGACTCTGCTCGTTCATCTTTCACTGACCACGCCTCCCTCTCCGAGCAACCTAGCAAGCGCCAGACTTCATCGAGATTGACCGCTGATTCGCCCTACACCTCTTCCGCTGAAGAGAGCCATAGCCGTCGTCCACGACCAATTGAAGAGAGGAAAGTTGATCGTGGGCTCCGGTCGAGACGAAACTCGAGAAATTCTAGCGAAAAGGATGAGAGACCAAAGCTAAGCCGCACCCGATCTCGGCACAATGACATGACACTCAAAGATGAGTCGAACCAAGAGCAGTTCCCGTATGGTGAACGTCCTTACCGTGAGACCCAGCCAGAGCTCTCTGCCCGGACGACGTCAGGTATGGAGGACTTGCTCGAAAAGGCCTTTATGGCGAACAACACCAAACATGTCAACCATGGGGACAGCAGTTCTCGGCATGTATCTCCGCGAGGCTCCCCAGCAACCAGTCCTCCGCAGACACCTCGAGGTGGTGACCCACCACAAAGGGACTATTTTGAACAAACTCATAATGGGTCGAGGTCGTCAAAGCAGCGGTCTCGTCCACAGTCGATTGATGATACACATTTCAAAGACCTTAAGAATGTCACATCCCTGCTGGGAGCCGCCACACTAGGCGCTTCTCTTGCGGCTAAGGCGATCCCTGCCCTGTCTAGATCAAACACTTCGCAGTCGTTGGAGACGCAAAGTAGCGGTTCTCAGAGCAGGCCAGGAAGCGGACAGCGTTCACGAAAGCCTTCTCCAGCCATTGAAGAGTCTCAACCAGCCTATCAGAGTCTGTCTAGAACAAACTCCACAGTAAATCGAAATGACAGCGTAAATACGCGGACAACAACCTACATGATAAACGAAGAGCGCCCAGTGCCCAAAAACGGGTTGTATGCACCGTCGCCACTTGAGCCTCCTCGAACAGCATCGAGATCTTCTTCTTATTCTCATTCTCCGGAGCTGCGGCCTCCTGCGCCCCTCAGAGCCTTCTCTAGCGTGCCTGCTCAAGGGCATCAGCAACCACTTCATTTCGCTGCCCAACCGGCGCTGATGTCGAGTCCAATGAACCTGGAGCCTCCGACAACGTTGGCTCACAACGCACCCAGACCACACTCATTGCCTCCGTGTCCGCGATCGAGACCGGCTATTGGACACCATGATTGGTATACAATCCGAGATATGCCGTTCCTGGATTTCTGTCCATCTTGTATGAGTTTTCTGGGTGGAACTCGCTTTCGTGACCACTTTATACCGAGTCTCCCGAAAGAACCCCGTCGACCCATCGCTTGTGCAATGAGTTACCCCTGGCTTCGGGTTGCTTGGTTGCAATCAATCCGACAGGACAGAAAGGACCTTACGCTTGTCTGGCAAATCGCTAATGGCCCACCGGCCGGTACTAAGCCATGTGCTGGTAATAAAGCAGATGTGAGAAGATGGTATCATCTGACCGATCCTAGAACGAAAAAACCCGTGGACAACTTTGACATTTGCTCGGCGTGCGTCAGGAATATTGACCTGATTTTTCCTACGCTTCAGTTCTGCGTCTTCGATCGACCGCAGGAGAAGAAAGAGCAGGAGAAGATATGCAATCTGAACACAAACAGCCGCCATTTCTTGCCCATATTAAATGAGCTAGAGCGGCTAGCTGAACGCTCGAAGGAGACCATGAGGCACAGGGATTTCCAAGAGTTCGTGGATTTTGTTCGGCGTGTTTCGCGCAATCGGCACTGCGTGAAAGATACCCTACTTGCTACCCAGTCATGGCACTTTATTTCCGATCTTCCGGAGTTTACAATCTGCGAAGAGTGCTTTGAAGAAGTTGTATGGCCTCTCAGAGATCGACCCATTGCAAGAGACGTGTCCAAGACACTCAAACTTGTGCCTGTCTTGCGCAAAAACTCTTCACTTCGGGGAACAAGTTGCCAACTTTACAGTGACCGCATGAGACGAATCTTTCACGACGCTGTGAACCGGAATGACTTTGAGAGCTTGAAATCGGCGGCTAGATACCGCTATAACATGGAGCATCGACTGCAGGAGATGCACAAACTGTACGAAATGGATTTGCAAGCCGGTATCGATCGGAGGGCAGAAATGGAGAAGAATGTCTCCATCTGGAAGTCTATTGAATAATGATTTGATGCGAGCAACGGATTCATGACTTGGGGCACGCGGGAAAAGTAAGACAAAGGCTTCGGATACGGGTTGCTAGAAAGCAACCAAGGGCAGCTAAAAGCTGGATATGAATAACTACACCATTAATCGTTTGAGAACATCAAGACTCGTCTATTCGTGATTGAGACTGTATTCCTTGGTGACCATCTGCGGATTCACCTGTCAATGAGGTATTCGGAATGGTACATAAATGCTCCTTCATAATGGCCCCACACGTGATATTCTCGGCAGTCTCGGTTGACCTTCCCTAGTCCGTTGCCCGCAGGTTTCCCAAGCTGCGGCCTTTTGCTGCATGATGAGCTCGTCCTCCATTTACCTTGCCGCGACTGCGACACATTCAATCACTTTGCAAGCTTTTCTAGATTGGCGGGGGTTCAAGATGAGCCTCATTTACCCTGCAGGAGGCGCCGTAGCCGCATTGGGAGTTGTCGGCCTTTGTAAGATTGTCGACTGATTCTCTGCCATCAAAACCTGTCGCTAACGAGTTGCTTCTAGATATGCTCTTCAATGGCGAGGGCGAACAATTCAATGTAGGCTGCTGACCGCGCAATACTACTCCATCGACGTGCAACAGAGAACTGACTCATGCGACCACAGGTCGGGCAATTCCTCGAGACAGTGTCTCCCTACGTATGGGCAGATCTCGGTATTGGTCTTTGTATAGGCCTATCGGTTGTTGGTGCGGCATGGTAAGAATTATACGGACCTCGCTCTCTGTTTTGCCTCTTATTTCTCTTATACACCGAAGGGGGTTCACGTTTCTTCTACCATCATTGCTGACCCTCGTCTCCTACCTAGGGGCATCTTCATCACCGGCACATCTATTCTCGGCGGCGGCGTAAAAGCTCCACAGATACGGACGAAGAATCTCATCTCGATCATCTTCTGCGAAGTCGTGGCAATATACGGCGTCATCATGTCCATCATCTTTTCCTCCAAAATCAACATGGTACCTGAAGAATCACTATACACGGGACCGAATTACTACACTGGTTACGCCCTATTCTGGGCTGGAGTGACGGTGGGCATGTGTAACTTGATCTGTGGTGTCAGCGTCGGGATCAATGGGAGTAGTGCGGCCCTCGCTGATGCAGCTGATGCGAGCATGTTTGTGAAGGTATTGGTGATTGAGATCTTTTCGAGCGTGTTGGGATTATTTGGATTGATTATTGGGTTGTTGGTAAGTTCAAAGGCTGCCGAGTTCGAGTGACCGCTGGTCCACGTGGTGGCGAGCGAATATGGCAGCGCAAGGCCCCAACGAGGTACCCAGAGAAGCAGGGGATTTGCTGCTACTACCGCGGCAGGCTATCATTTGGACAAGAGCAGCTGTGCTGAAGCAGGCGGGCGAAACAAAGCTCTCGGCAAAAGGTTGAAGCCGGTGTCGCAGATTGAGATAACTCCATCACATTGGCTGGGCGGGGAACACTGGGATGGACTCTGTATATTTACGCTCTGGGAAAGGCATTGCTCTGGGGGCGTTCAAGGCTGAACGTTCAAGCGACCGTGGAGAGGCTGTGTTATGAGGGCGGTTGACAAACGATGAGATGGATTTTGGAGGTTTAAAGCTAGAGATAAACCCAGCCATGGTCAATCATGTCCAGTTGCTTCGAAATCAATGAGCACAATGGAATATGGATGACCACTCTGCCACTATACAATGCAAGTGTCGAGATTGTGGCTTGAGGTTTGGGGAGAAGCACAGTGGCACCAAATGCGGCCTGGTGCAGCCATTTATTAATTACAAACATACGTCACTGTTTTGTTGGCTTTTTTTCGACTCTCGCCGTTGAACCTCCCAGGCTTCAGCCATGTCATACGACATGACAGGTAAGAGGTTTCTGGAAGACCTCCATGTGCTGTTGCTTGCTTTCATGGCCCTTCCTTTTCTTTAGTTCCATTCTGGACAGGCGACTGTCTTCAGATGCTTTGCTGGGGCACAGTAATTTGAATCCGACCTTGTTGCATGTCTCCATGAATTGATCAACTCGACTACATGCAACTGTTTCCACTACAATGGCCCAGCCCGTCCATACGCTGGGACCTACCTGTGCCTTCTATGAGGACGAGCCTGATGACAATTCCAGCGATGGACTAACTCCGTCAAGGGTCAAAGCACAGTTCTTCTACGTCTCGTCGCTCCCAATCGATGATCCTCTCTCTCCGCTGCCGCCAGTCTCGACAGACAAGGCTACCGATCTCCCCCCTCAACCATTTTCCGTTCGAGACAATGCCGCCCTTGAAGAAGCATGGCAGACCTTTCAGAAGGGTTATGGGGCGGTCGAAGGTGAACAAGGAGGAAGCAGGAAGAAGGGGTTTGCAGAAGGAATAGTGTCATTTTCGCAGCTCCGAGATGCACAAGACATAATGGGGGAATCTCAAGCGACAAAGTCTGGCTCGTCTAGAACCAGAGGCATCTCGCGTGGCCGTCCAAAGGCAGCCCCCAAATCACCTTCGTCGGGATCGGAGGTCATGCTGGAACATGCACACAACGGTTCGAAACGTGACGAGACTCCAGTTGATGCTGAAGAGTTACGGGGGAACAACCAACTCCAACAACAACCTAGCAAAGACTCGACCAAACACAAGAGGCGATTTTCGCCCTTTCATCGCCGACACAAAGAAGGGAAAGACGGCCATGATACTCTTCCCAGGCCTGCTAACCTTGACGAGACTGCTGCATGTGCAACGCAACCCTCACAGGACCCTTCCTCTGACATCAGTGGTCGGCCATTTGCGCGGGCGCCTAGCGGGCGCAATATCAGTTCTGCGCTGACCTACGAACCTGGATTTTCGGATGGATCGGAAGCAGAATCCAGAAGTCGTTCTCGAAGCTCTGGTCGTCGTCGGAAGAAGGGCAAGGACAATGAGAAAGCTTATGTCCCTGTGGGTGTGTCTCGTCTGCACTTGGTCGAAATGCCTGACCTTGTCATGAAGCCGATCTATTGGTCCCCCATCAACGACACATCCAGCGTGATCCGGGCCACTTGGTTCTACAAAGACAGCATGTTACCTGTTCCAGCTGATGTGGCGAATCGTCTGGAAGTCGGTTACGAATATATAAAACCCTTTGGTCCTGCTTACCAAGAAGAGCTGCAGGCTTGCATCGACAATGGTGCTTCGGCGGAGATGAAGGTGGTGTACAAGCTGTGGCCTAACGAGCCGAAATCGAGCCGGCCATCCACTGCCACAGACATGAAAGAAAGCAATGAAAATGACAGGCAGCGGAAGGGGAGCAAAGATCTGCCAGAAATCATCCAGAATGCTGCTGCAGACCCTCGGAATACGCCAGACAAACGGCTTTTTGCGACCCATAGCGTCATCTACACGGATGCTCGGAATGCTCAGATATTGAAGCCCAATCTCCTTCCCTCCATCACACAAAATCGCCGACCGTTGAGCTCCCTTCGGAAAGGGAGGCAGATTGGAGTAGCAGTTGTCCGTGGGTTTGACCGCAAAGCGTGGCTGAAGATCCACCCCGACCCTAAAATGGATGTTAAAGCTGCGCACGCGAAGGTCGGAGCATATATGTCTCAGTCAGGGGATGCTACCACTCGGGGACGGCGAATGTCATGTGCAGCTTGCGAACATGACAGCAAAGCACCGAAGGTTACTGACCTTGTCTTTGTCATTCACGGTATTGGGCAAAAGCTATCGGAAAGAGTTGACAGTTTTCATTTCACTCACGCCGTAAATGGTCTTCGGCGGGAATTTAATGTTGAACTGGCAAGCGAAGTTGTCAAAGGGAATTTAAGGCATGGAACAGGCATTATGGTTCTCCCTGTGAACTGGCGATTGACGGTCTCATTCGACGAGGACGTCAAAGCTGCTCCTGAAGGCACTGAGAATAAATACGCCCTGAAGGACATCACTCCTGATACTCTCCCTGCTGTCCGGTCCATTATCAGCGACGTAATGCTGGACATCCCCTACTATATGTCACACCACAAGGAAAAGATGACCTCGGCGGTCATTAGGGAAGCCAACCGAGTCTACCGACTGTGGTGTCGCAATAATCCAGGGTTTGAAGACTATGGCAGGGTGCACCTGGTTGCCCATTCCCTCGGTTCTGTCATGGCTATGGAGATTCTCAGTCAACAGCCCACTCGACTAGGCAAGGACATCAAATTCGATCCCAAAAGGCCAAGTGAGAAGATGTTTGAATTTGACACGACCAATATTTTCAGCTGCGGAAGTCCTTCAGGTTTCTTCCTGCTTCTTCACAACTCCAATCTGATCCCGCGAAAAGGCAGGGGGAAACCCGGTATCAAAGGAGACGATCGTCAACCGGGGATAGCCAGCGAAGCAAAATATGGATGCCTTGCAGTCGACAACATCTACAATATTGTCCACAGAAATGATCCAATCTCCTACCTCCAGAATGCGTCCGTGGATGAACTGTATGCAAAGTCCATCCAGCCGGCAGTTATCCCCAGTGCCAGTGTCGGCTTCATGACACGTATCAGCCACAGCCTCCGGTGGGCCTCTGGCAGCACGGGTGATCCGTACTCTGCCATTGCATCGCCTTCCCGCCCACAACTTACGCAAATGCCTAGCACAGTGGAATTGGAGACACATAATTTCACGCGCGAAGAGGTTGCAGAGAAACGCATGTACCTGCTCAACGACAATGGGCAGATTGACTGGTTCCTCTCAGCGGGCGCCGGTCCCTTGGAGTTCCAATACCTGAACATGCTCAGCGCACACAGCAGCTACTGGATTTTGCAGGACTTTGTCCGATTTTTGGTTGTGGAGATTGGGAGAGAGCCTGGAAGAAGTCATACATTGCCGGCGCTTCGGGCGGTCAAGAGGCGCGAGTATAAGAGAGGGGACATTCCTTGACTTTGGTTGTTGCTTTGCTCTACGGATTGTTTGAAATGAGTTTCGCGTATTACGCTCTCTGTTGGTGTTGATCAAGCACGGTTGGGTTGACTCTCCAGGGCGCTGCGGAATACAGACCA